ATTATCAAATGTTAATTACCATGTCTGCTGATGTTTTAGCTCTAAGAGTCTCAAGTTGTTTCCGTAAAGTCTGCGCACGTTGTTTGAGTGCATCCTGCTGACTGATTTTCGTCGGTGGGACCGGCTTTGATGTTGCTGCTGCTGACAAAGACGACGATGATGTTTTGACGGGTGCTGTTAAACGCAGTGAATCTTTAAGCATCACAATAGTAGAATCGACTTGTTTCATCAAAGATCGAATAGATTCTTTCTCGGTATTTGTCTCAGCGACTTCTAATTTTTTTAGTAATAGTTTCTGCTGTTGAATTTGTTCTTCAAGTAAACCTTGTTTTTTACGTTGAATTTCAACGGCAGCTTTCTTCGCTGCTTCTTTTTTCGTAATCGTTGAAGATGGGTGAGTCGTTTTCTTTGAAGTTGGCGCAGCTACAGGGGCTACGGGTGCCGCTACCGCTGCAGGAGTTACCGTTGCTGTTGCTGTTGTTTGAGTTGTAGTTGGCTGAGTAGTCTACGAAATGATTTATGAAGAATAAGTTTAGAACGAATACGATCAATAAAATACCGTTGGTGTTTGATCGGTTTTGTTTCCTGATAGTTGTTGCATTTTCATCCAGTGAAGTTTCATGGGATTGGGTGTGCTCGTTGATGGTTTCTTAGTTGGTGCCACATCTGATGACGACGATGCTGTCGCTGCTGATTGCTGCGTGGATTGATTAGAACTATTACTATTGTTACCAGAAGATTGCCCCTAGAAAATGCAAAATCTCGATGCAGATTTCGATGTTTTGTTCATGATGATTTACCTTATTATTGTTGTGCCAGAAGATCTTAATGAAACGATTATTAAATAATGGCTGAGGATTTTTATAAGCCGTCTCAGCTTGATGCTGGGTGGCATAGGCAACCAGAGCTGAATCGGGTGCTCCATCATAAGCAATCTAAGAGACAAAAGGCTTGTGTTTATTAAAAAATAAAGATCAAATGAAATATAGAATATACTTGAACGTTTGTAACTGTACCGAACTTGCTAAAGTGCTCGTTTAATTTGGAAATGGTATTGAATTCAACCGGAATTTTACGTATTTCAAGAGTGGCTGGTGTTGCACTAGATCCATCTGGCTTTTGCCCTAAATTCAAACAAACGAATAAATAAATACCAACGTCTTTGTGCATGATCATTAACATACATGGACGTTTCCATCCTCGCCCATGATATCCATTATTTGAATTCGAAGGATTCGTATGACTGTTAGCCGTGTTAGTATTGTTATTGTTATTTGAATCATTAGCGGGTGCTTGTTCTTGCTGCTGCTGCTGCTGCTGCTGGTGTTGCTGCTGATGCGGATGCTGATGCTGATGCTGATGCTGATGCTGTTGTTGCATTTGTTGTTGTGGTCGTCGATCATTTGGATAAGGGCCGGCAGTACCATGTCGTTTAGGGTACATCATCGGACCACCCGGTATTCCCACTAGACGAAAAGAAAAAAGCAACAATGGAAATGTTGAGTACGAAATAGAAAACAATTAATAGTTTATACTTGAATCATTTTGTCGTAGTTTTTGTTCGAGCGGCAATGGTTCAGCATTGGTCACCACAGTAACAAGTGTACGTTGAGGATTCATCATCATCATTTGCTGTTGTGATAATGGTGGTTGTCCTGCTGGTAATGGTGGACCTTGCATGCGCGCATGATGGTGATGCATAGGATGCCTCATGTACATTGGTGGACCTTGATGTGATCCATGTTTTAATTCAGGTGTTTCGGGATTATATTCGTGGTAATGTGGATGAAGATGAGCTGGAGGCATTCCATATTGCTGATAAGGCGGATAATATGTTTGTTGTTGTTGTTGCTGCTGCTGTTGTTGTTGTTGCTGTTGTTCGAAAACAAGAGCATTTGTTCCATGATCATATGGACATGAATCTCCGAGTGCACAGTAACCTTTATTTTCAAAAAAATCACTACAAGGTATTTTTTTGTATAAAAAATTTGTATTTGTCGTCGGTGCTTGATGAATAGTACTGATTGGACGTGATGGCGAGGAACGTGAGGATGAACCGGATGATGAATGTGAATAGGAACGTTGTGCACGTTTTGCTGGCGGTGGTGAACCGGAACGTGAGCGAGACGATGAACGATTCGAACGTTGATTATTGGAATTTGTTGTTTGACGATAGTGTGACGATGTCTGATGGCGATTAGCACCGCCACTGGTCGTATTCACATGCCGTCGCGGATTAGGCGAATGATGACGACCGGAAGATGAACGGTAGGAATACCGTCTTTTAACAGGTTGGATTATCGCTCCAGATGATTGTTGTTGAGCAACTGTGGTTTGTTCAGAAGATGATGTGTCTTGAGAAATCGTAGGGATTTGTTGCTGTTGTTGTTCATTATCTTGTTTCGCTGGCGACGAAGAATTTTGTGGTTCTAACAGTTCAGATGATTCTGCTGATTTCTCATCACTACTATCACTCGCTTTGGGTTGCACATTTTCCTAAAGAAAATATGAATTCATTCCATACGAATTTCCAATAAAAACGAAAACGGACTTTTTTTGCTTCGGGAATATACCGTCCATTTCGAATGACGTCAAACAATTGATCAACAAAATCTTTTGTGGCTAAAAATTCAACGCACAGCCATACATACAAATCTCAACCAATCGAAAACAAGTTAAATCTACATACCACGATCAAGAAAGACTTCTAATCGATCAATACAGTTTTCACGTAATTTGTCTAATGGTTTATCTTTCGCTACCAGAGCGAGAACATAACGAGCTAAAGCCATGGGCTCTGCGTCGCATCTACATTAAGATAAATAATATGCGATGATATTCATTGGAAAGGAAGAGAACCTACATCGGCTCGAGTGTTGCAACGAGCCATTCTCGTAATGCTACTTCGTCGTCGATCAACATGAAAATAACGATTCTTTAATTATATACAAAAGCGAATCTTTTCACGTTACAACAAATCTAGAAAAAGTCACGAAGATTAAAATTTCTTTCTTCGTACGTGCATGCAAAATTGAGCATTCCAAATCGATCTGGAAAATTAGTTTTCACAACTTAAAGAGAAAAACAACTGTGAAATATATCTGAAGTAGTTAGATGGAAGTGCGATATCATGCATTGATTTTCCGGAAAAAAAAACAAAACATTATTTGACTGATGCCGACGATTGAATTGGATAATAAGTAATCTCATTCGACATACGACGCACTTTGGTGGCAGATATAGTCGATTGATTACGAATTCGTATTTTTTCAAGACGCTGTATCAGCCAGACAAGCAGAATAATAATAAATATCTATGAAGATATGTAACTGATTATTGAGTCAATAACAAAAAAACAATCTCACCTGAAGAGATGCGACGCCTACTGTAACACATCCAAGTGTAACTAAGTGTGTATGATAAAAATTGTACAGTGCAGGTGAACAGCCCTATTCAAAAATAAAAGTGATATTTTGTACTTAGTAACATTTGAATGAAGACAGAACTAGCGATTTCTTCGTTCTACTCTTCTAATTGTTAACGTACGTGTGAAAATATATTCGAAGGGTGTTTGCCGTACGGTTTTCGAGCGCATTTCGGTTCATACGATTTGCAACAACTGTCGGGTACAGCTGAATTCATCGATGCGTTAAAATGCGAGTTTAATTGCCAATCCTATAGTCAATTCGAGATGTTTTGATTAGATGATTATGAGAAGAAATGATCTTACTTCAAATGATTTTGATCCACAACATCGAAGCTAAAAGCGAAATCATAAATATAATCGAGCTTCTGAAAAATTCGACATACGAGTCTCTGCATTTGATCGAATGATTTCGTTTTTCCACTATCGAATAGATACTTATATTGAATGGTTTCAAGTAAATTTATCGATAAACGTTCTTCGAGCTAAATATTTGCATTTATTTTCCAATTGAACAATTCAGTCAACTCACATTAACTGTATAACCAAATGCTAGTAAACCAGCTGTTATTTCACAAGCGAATGTTAATACCAATATCAATAACGTCTAAACCATTCGTGTTTGAATAGTAAACCATTTCCTTCTTCAAAATAGACTTACAAATTTCAATCCTTTTTCATATTCATTCCACGAAGTAATAAATAGGACAATAATTGCTACACACGTAATTATTGCTGATAATAATAAACAATATGTTGCAGTCGTATAAAGATAGGCTGAAGCGAGCAAAGCGTATTTATGTTTGGTTACAATTGTCCAAAACGATAAATAAGACAAGGAGAGAACAGCTACCAATAGAAGAAAACCGACAATAATGATTGAAGCTTTAATACCGAACACACTACAGTATCCTTTATTGTTGGCATTGAATCTATCAGGTTTTTTCATCGGTGTCGAAGTCATTTTTGAAAATTCTGTTTGTTGTAAGAAAAATGATAAACAATTGAGTAACTGATTGCAATGAAGATGTTCTTGAAATCGAATTTCACTTTAAATAGAAGGTTAGACACATGGTCAAATTCCGATGATAAACGATCTTTTCAGATCAAATTTCCTTCTGATTAACTAGTTGTGCCTTGTTTATTTCGCCTAGCCATTCGAATTATTTGTTTTTTTCCTGTTCTCATCCATTACTTGAAGAAACAATAAGTTTAACATGGACTTTCAACATAACAAATCAGAAACGATGACTGATAGGTGGCGCTTTAACCATACAATATGGTTTCTTTTCAATACTTGCTCTTGATTATTCAAGTGATTATAACTATAAAATCTTACTGAAGTGTTTAACATTACTATTAAATGATGGTGTGAAATTCAAGTTTTTATTTGTCCTTGTCTCATTCTATCTCAAATTCGGGTTTGATTGAACTCGATGTCTCTTTAAAATCAAGTACTTGTTATAAACATTTTAGAAGGTCAATGAAAGTGAACATTATCGCACTACCCGATTATGGCTTTTCTTTACGGAAATAAGTGTGCGCATTATTTGATACAAAATACATATACAATGCATCAAACTACGAGTCTCTTGTCTGTGACATTCTGCAGATGATGATCAGAAAATCGTGAATGTATTTTCGGCTTGTAAGTCTTCGCTTTTCCGGTTGTTTGTTTGTAGGCTCTACTATTTGGTAGTTGAGACAATGCTCCATAGTAATCAACTGGATATCGATTGACATGAACTTTTTGTTGATGACTATTTGTAATCGCTGGTAAATAAGGAATTTGGTTATACAACGTAGATGTATGTGGATATGGATCGTCATATAAAATGTCTACGACTTGAACGTCAGAGTCAATGTATGCACCTGACGACGAACGACGACGAATGTGTAGGTGTTGTTGATGGTATTCGTCCTGATGAGAAATATTTTGTAAAGTTGTTCGATGATAGAGGTGATTTGATTCCGAGGGAATAGAAGGAGGATAAGGATGATGATGACCATGAGTCTGTACATGAGAACGATTTTGTTGTGCAGGAGTATGGTGATGGTGATGATGATGATGATGATGTTGAGGAAGGTAATAACTGTCATCGTCGTTCATGTCAGAGGTAAAAAAATATTTATCGGTATTTTTTGATTGAATTTTTGACCGATTCGCGATTGGTTTGGGTGTTATTATTAGATTACTTGGGTTTTGTGGTGGTTTATTTGATATCGATTGTAAATAGTGATCTGTCCATTCATATTCTGTTTTAAGTTTACGGCGATCTGGTAGTACTTTTCGTTTTGGTTGTTGTTCATAATAATCATGATTGTCTGGATCTTTTAATGGTACGTAGCGTCTCGACGTTGGCCGTTGTTGAGGAGTGTCATGATCTTGGTGCAATACCACATGCGATGGTGTAACTGAATCTTTCTCCGAATGATCATGATGTTGTTTATTCTGGACGACGGGTACTCCATTCGGACGAGAGTTCGGCGTTCGCTTTTTTGGTTTGATCGGTAATGTTGTCAGGGAAGGTTGAGAAGGATATTTTGAAGTTTCAGTTAAATTATATGGAGCCTTCTGCTGATGATTCGCCTGGCGTTGACGTGCGATCCAATCAGGATTTTTCAATTTGTAATAATACCAATACGGATAATAATTATCATCAACACCGGTTGGCTTTACCTCTGGTAAAGGTACTAAAGTTCCGTGACCAGGCGGTGCTTTATGAAGGGTGTTCTTCTTAGTCTTTTCTTCCTTTTTCTGTTTTTGATATTGAACAGCCACTGGAATGCCATTCGAGGGTAAATCATTGTATGTGTATCGAAGACTATGTGGCGCCTTTCGAGAAGATGGTAAACGCGGGGACAAAGACGTTGCTGTTGGTATTTGTTCATTGTCTGCGCTAATTAATTGGCATGTATCATTGGATGAAGTGATTGATGAGCGTTCCGATATGTAAATATCTTCTTCGTCATAATCGTTTGCAAGAAAAAGTGCTCGATTATCGGTTCTCTCTTGTATATCCCAATTTTTTAAATACTCTTTTTTAATATGATACGCCATATTTCACTTTTAACGTTTTCAAGTAATATGAAAAGTAATTGACTGATAAAAATAGAAGAGAGGAGAGAAAAAATGAGCGGATTCTGTGGTCTGCTCTCGTTCGATGCAATTTGTTTTGTTTGAGTATGGAGTATGTCGGTAGTCAGAATACACCTACGTTGACGGTAAGGTAGAGAACATTTTCAAAGAAATAATAGCCGATATAAATGAAAAGTTAAATCAACAAGATTATTGTGCTCTATCGATGAGAACGAAGTGTATGCGAACTGCTTGTCAAAAGGCAGGAAAGTAAGAGAGAGAATACCGTACAAGTTCATAAATAAATATTGACGTTTGATTTTTGATTAATTAGATTGACTGACATCATGATCACGTAGTCAGAACGATTTTACTATAACGATCACTGATGAATATTTTCATAGGTAGTTATTTTGATCATTAGAAACGAAATCGAAAAGGATTTCTACGATTTCTATGGGTAAAAATGAATATTTACGCAGTCAATACGAAATCTGATTTGCTCATATATTCTCTCACTTGTTTTGATGATTGTGAAATGATGCATACGATTTTTAAAGGGTCAACAAAAGCTCTACAATCACGAATAATGGATGAGACTTGTCAATGACTTCTAGAGATAAACCAGAATTCTTCATCAAAACACGTAATGTATGACACATTGCAGACGTTGACTTTCAACAACACAACTAGCCATGGCTTTATTCCCCATTGAGAAAACTAAACGTATAGACACTATATGACATCGTTAAAATACGAATATTAGATTGGAATGACATGCACGGAGTATGCAACGTTGCTGGAAAGTATGTTATTTTTCCAGAGACATCAGATGACTTCGGTAACTGAGTTTGAACGATAGATACAATGTAGACGTCTTTCAGTACATAAGAAAAATGCTGAAATTAATTAAAACGGATGGGCAGTGGTGCATACTTAAAAGCGTGTACTTATATCAAATAAAAATCTTTCAGTCTGATTCAGAAAAGGGTTTCACGCGGAGATAATAAAAGCAATTGCATAAAATATAAATTATATATAAAGAATTCTTAGTTTTAATGTTTTTGCATGATTGGAGGGAATAGCATTACTACAATTTAAAAAAAACGAACTATGCGCTGCATTTTTGGCAAATATTTCTGATGAAAGATTTGGTTTAACGTTAGACAAACGATGAAATCTAAGATAGTTATATACGCTTACGGCCATACCACGTTGAATACACCAGTTCTCGTCCGATCACTGAAGTTAAGCAACGTCGGGCTCGGTTAGTACTTGGATGGGTGACCGCCTGGGAATACCGAGTGTCGTAAGCTTTTTGTCTTTTTATATAAACATGGAAATTCACGGCAACAATACTACTTCACCCAACTCTAACCAAAGATTCAATCTCGTTGTCATACATGAAAAAATGTCTTTTTGTCAAAGCGGATAACAGAAGCCCATTGATTTTCCATAATTTATTGAGGACATCAAATAATAAAATATGAAAGCGAATATAAAACATGTGTTTTTCTAGATAAAGCACCGTCCATTGTGTATGAATGAGTTTCTGCGTCAACTTTGTTGAGTTGTTCATTTGAGAGAGGATACGATGAGTGTTACGAAGTAAAATCCGTACTTTTCGTCATTCTACGATCATTCATCTGTAAATAAAGAAAACTTTAGTCGACCTAATTCTTCAGAAAGCATGAATAATCAATCATATCATTTGATCTCGTACGAAAATCAAGATTAAAAGTAATATTTGTGCAGATATACAAAAGTGCGTGTGTTCAATGAAATGGCAAAGTGCATTGAAAGGTGCAGTTTTTGAAAAATAGTGATATATTCAAAAAGAAAAGTTAGTGCAAACAAAAGTGCAATTCAATGTGTGGCCAGAGTGCGGTGTCTTCTAACCGGGCGTAGCGGGGCGATACCAATAGTTGAATAGGAATATGTGTCGTGTGTGGTAATAGCACCTGTTTTAATTTTGTCAAATAAATGATTCAATTTTCGATTTAAATCTTCAATTTCTTTCTTTCGGGGGTCGACATCTTCATGTATATCATTGATGGATATTTTGGGTTTGAGAATACGTCGTTCAATAGTTTGTACTACATCCTGGCGACGTACTTTACGAAGTGCTTGAATTAGATCGTCAAGTACGGCACGTGTATGGAAACGTCGCCATTTATTCAATGAATCTGCTGCTTGTGCCTAGACAAAGTCATCAATAGTACATGTCAATAACATTAGTTGACCAATTCAAATCTATACGAACTTGATGAACATCACCTCGATGGTATTTATCGTCGATGTATTCAATATCTTTCGATATTTCTTCTTGACCACGTGCCGGATGAAAAGGTAACTGCCAATAGAGTCGAGTCCAATCACGGCCGATACTTTTTGCAACGAGACGAATAGCTTTGGACAGATCGTCTGGAATAGAATCAAATAGATTCTACTCTTCTTTTTCATGTTATAAACGAAGTCAAGTGTGCCTTACCATTATCAGCTTCACCTGATCTTCTCGATCGAATTGGTAGAGAATAGAAGATTTTCTGTGGCAAATCATTCGTTGAACGACATCTGTAAATATTTCGTATTACATCTCGACAATTCGCTACGCGATTGAATTCGTTTTCTCTTAAAATTTTCTCTTCTAATGCCACCTGTGCTTCTTGCGCCAAGCGTTTGTGTTCTGTACGCATCGCTGCTAATTCTTCTTTGCGCTGTTTAAAAAACGCAATACGTCCTTTAATTGTTTCCATTTGAGCTTTTAATTTTGGCAACTCTCTGGCAAATTGTTTAATCTCTTGCTGAAATCGTTCGATGGATAAATGATTATCAACAGCATCGGGTTCTTCGGCTGCTTGAAGCATTTTTTTCAATTGATCCTCATACACTTCTGATGTCAAACGCTTTGATAGATATTCTCGTTCTTTCGTATCTAGCCGTTCTTCGAGTTCTTCAAATTTTTTCGCATTGAGTTCATTTTCTTGTTCAGCTTTATTCAATTGGGTTTGAAAGGAATCCGCCTAGGAAAATCGATTGATATTTATAATCATTAAAATGATCAATTTCCTATAATTACTCGATGTTCAACATGACTAAGATGTGCTTTGGCAAATTCGAAATTCTTCTTCTCGTCAGCGAACTTTTCATCCAGCACTTTCAATGACCTAAAAACTGCGCTATATTCTATTCAGTCATTCGTGTAACTGAAAAATTACGTTTGAATAAATGATGTGTATTTCGAATCTTCACTTAACCAAGTTCGAAGAGCTTGAATTGCTCGTCGAGCTTCAATATAACATTCGGGCAACGCGAATATGTATGAAAGTGATGTACAATCACAACGAACAGCCAATTCTTGACATTCTTTCGATAAAGATGACATGACAATGCCTCGAGTGTCTTCAGCACGTTGTTGCATTTCTGATAAGATTTTTATTGACTTATTCACTTGAAATATATGCGTCCATCGAGCTTTTTCATAAGTATACGCTGTTTCTACGTATTCATCCTAAGTAACACGAGACATGAAATCAAACTGAGGTAGAAAGATCTCCTTCGTTTCATGCAAAAGTATGAGAAAAAAAAAGAACAAACAATAGAATTATCATGCACATGCAAGGTATACCTTAATTTTTCTTGCAATACACTTGTAGAATGTTCTAAAAAGAATGACTCGATCATCTCAAAGTGATTCTCAACTATCTAACTATGAATGAATGATCTACTCGATAAATACGTCACTGTTGCAAGTAGAGATACTTACCGGTGGTCGATCATTTCTTCGTTTTTGAACAACTTCTTGAATATTATCAATATCATAAAACGAAAGAAAGTATTGTTCCATTAAATTCATACATTCCGCGATTTTATTTGCTAATAATGGCATTTTTGAATGTAATTGATCGTTTGTTTTATCCAAAATATTCTTCAACAGATTGACACACTCATCCGATATTGAATCACCGAAATTTCCCGTTCTGGCTTCAGTTAGAAGATCCCGTGCTGTTTTACCATTTCGAATATCACTAAGAAGACGTGCGTTTCGTAATTCATTCAATGGTCCTGACCATGCAATAAGTGTATTAACAGATTGTGGTCTTCTGGCTGTTTGAAGTTTAGGTTTAATGTTCACTGAAGTCGATGTATCTTGATAGTATTCATTTTCGATTTCGTCGATGAAAGACAAACATTCATTTAGCGAATGTTCGAGAAATTTGTAGATTTGATCGTAAGATGACGGCTCAGTTGTTTTAGTCCAAGATTTCGGTGGCTTCATTGAGCTAGATTTTCTTTCGGATACGATTATCCTTAAAAATAAACGATGCAAACAATGAAAAAGCTAAGAACAAAAAGAATTATACAAGTTATTTTTGTTTTAAATCGATCCTTGAGACGTGAGTTTCATCACAAGATATTTTTTACTTTTTTTTTCTCTCTCTTCTTTACTTTTCTCCTTCTCTTCAGCGACAACAACAACAACACAATTACAAGATTTTGTTTGGTATCGATGTTGTTGTTATCGTAAACGACACTGAAACTCTTTTAGTAGGATGAGTGAGAGAAAAAGAAGAAGAAGAAGAAAATCTCATCTAATCGAAATCAAATGTGTGCAATATTGACAGTTTAACGATAAGGCATAAAAAAATTCAGCAGATCTCGTTGTACAAAGGAACAAAGTGATTGTTTTTTCTCCTTAGCGAACTATTGTTCTTTAAGACTTTTCTTTTATTCTTCCTTTTCAAAATCATAAATTATGATCGACAGTCATTAGAAGAGAAAAAAAAAGAAAATGTCAAACAACTTTTGATGACGAGTCGTCACCATGCAAATCTGATTTTGTGTATTATTAACAACTAAAAGTTAATCGACAAGCAACCATGTTCTCGGACTATTTATTCGATTTTGTTTTTCTTCCCAAGTCTTCTCGTTTGAAATATAAAATAACGAAGTTAAACAGTGATTTGAAAACAAACATAAACAGATATTCATCTTTACAAATGCGAATGAATTAGAAAACAACAAGTTTAGAGTTATAGAACACGAGGCCTTGTGTAGTTTGGTAATGTATGTTTGAAGAATCCCATTTCATTCAGAATGATTTTTAATAAAAATAAATGGAATATAACGATTAAAAATGCTAATGCAATCCAGAAGACTATAGGTAAGCCGCCAAGTTTATGACCGTGTCGGTGAAGTGCGAGAACATCATGTGCATGAGGAGGAGCTGAATAAACAAAAATTAAACGTCAAGTAGATTTCTAGTAAAAGAAAAAAGGGTGCATTCATACCGATTTCGACTTCTTTTACATGTAGTGTGTCTTTTAATTGTGTCATATACTCGAAATCTTCGGCAATGTAGAGAATTGCTGTTGGTGGACTTGTCATTTTTACCGGAAAGCGTACCGGTTGATGACTGGAAAGAAAAATAAACAAACTTTCTATCACACAGAAGAAAAACATGTATGAACAACCTTAATTTTGTTGGCGGATCTAAACAACCAGCATCGCATGCATAAGCCTGAGCATTTTCATTATCAATCGATACATCGATAACAGCACGATTATCGTGACCAACAGTAATACTTATATTTACATGATATTGTTTACCGAAATTAATCGAACGAAAAAACATATCACGATGAAGCTCCTTCGGATCGAGATACATCTCTAAATGATGTGTACGAAAACGTATACCACCGATGGAAAGCAACATAGATTGAAGAACACCATCAGCACCTATAAAAACAAAACCATGTACGACAAAGATTTTCCTAATGAGTAGAACTGAATTTGAGAACATACCACTTCGCATTAATGTAAAACAACCCTTTCGAGATAACGTCGAACGCCATAGATTAGCTAATTGTGATACAGCTAGATCATCACCAGGCGATATCCATAGTTTTTCTCCGATTCTACATTGAAAGCAGTCATTGGAATAGATATTAAAGATTTCAGTAGAACTTACAATGTTGAATGACTTTCATAGCATTGCTCCATTTGAAAGAGGCTCTGATTCAACTCATTTCTTTTACTTTCATCAATATTAAATTCATAAATCGGCGATGGAGTTGAACAAAGAACATAGTAAAGCGTTCGATTGATAACATCTCCATTCATGGCTGAAGGTGCTAATGAACGACTCATGCGAAAACCGCTTTGCCATATGGATGACCATGTATTGACATGCTCTTTTAATAATCGAACAGATGATGTTGAAAGAGCATTTGCCATGTCATCTTTGGCTTGTTTTTGTAATTTAACTTTCCATTCGTTGAGATAGGTTTCATTTGCAATGGAAGCTTTCGAAAGAGGAGAAGAAAACTTCACTACAGTTAAAACTGTTTGTTTTTCTAGGCTAAAAAAGAGAAACATTTTAGCGAACGTAATAAGCAATCCTATCTGACTTCATTTGAACATACCTACCGGGTTTAACATTGGTATTCGAAAGTAATTTATTCGTAATAATAACATATATAATAGGATTATTTTGCCGTGTTGATATTTGATTCGTTGTCATTAGATAACTATCTGTTGACGAGTCAAATCGAACATCTTGTTCATCAAGTTGTTGGACATCCGTTTTCGATATTTCTTTCTTTTGTAGTAATCCAAGGTCAAGGGTGTGTTCACTGGGATTAGTGATTTCGATATCTTGAACAATCAACGATGGTCGCTGTCGATGTACATATAAAGATTGAGTAACATGTGCAGAACGTTCTTGACTAAGTTTATAACATTGAATACGTTTGACAAGACCTTGTTTCATTTGTAATAATGTTACACTCGAAGCCTCCCATGTATCAGACGAAATATGAACAATTGGAGAGTAACCAGTAGATATGAATTGGGAACGAATATCAGTTAAAAGTTGTATATGAGATTGACTGGATAAAGAAAGACCAAGGTAACCATTACCTGAATATACAAGAGATACAGATAATCATATTTTGAATGTTTATTTATGGTGTGATTTCTAACCTGTGAATGGCAAACTAACGATTTCTCCATACTGAATCGGGTCATGATTGAAAATTGTGTTCATTTCCTCTTGATCCCGTGAAAATTGTTCCAATCGGTTTTGCAAACATCGATCGTAATTAACTAATATACAAATAGGTAGTCTAGTTTCAGAATTTGTTTTTCGAGAACGTACTGTTCTTGTATGTGACCTCGTGAGGTGTCCATTTAACGAATAGATAGAAAATGATGATAGTGATAATGATGAGACAAAGAAACGATCGACGAGTTCTAAATCAGATAAGAAACTTATTCGAAAAGGAAAAGAAATACTAGACTGGTTAGTTATTCAGATTCAACAAAATTCAAATAGCAAATGACAAAAGCCTACTGTCGAATGATATAAAATCTGCCTTTAATTGTTATGCCGAAACGCATATTTATCACAAAGATAGAAAAAGCTGTTTTAGGACCTAAACGAAGAAAATTTTGGCAACGAAACCGGTGTTTATGCACCAAATTTCAGCTAATTCTCAACTTACCTACCTTCGCTTCAAACGACGATATGTATAAGTAATACCATAGCGACGATCAATATCCTTGAAGAGACTCTATATCAATTATGTTAATGAGATCGTTTAATTAATGAAAATATATGATCTTACTCTGAGATTTATAGTCATAATATCTCTCTCATAACCTGCAACATTAAATTAAATGACGGTCCATGTCATCAACAGTTCTTATTGGTTAATCGATTCTCGACATGTCTCTCAGTTCTTAGCGACATCACCGTGGAGAGAAAATTTTCCTACCGAATTAATTTTTTTGAATAACAAATCAACGGAATTTTTCTATTAAAAATTTTGAATAGTTATGAGAAACCAACGAAGATACCAATGAAGTTCAGTAGTAAGTTAAGTGCAACCACTCAAATGGTCGCCGTTCTCGTCACCGCGTCATCATCATCATCATTACCTTCGGTTCTTTTACTCGCTTTGTCTGATCCACTTCGATATTCATTTTATTCATCACTCGTTGATGTTCTTTTTTTTTTCTCTTCTTTCTGTTTTGCATCGCAACTAGTTTTTCTTTGACGCAAAACTTTGTTATTTGCAATGTTCTTCTCCAAATCTTTCTTTTTCAGAAGTTGAATTTAACGATGGATCTCAGTAAAATAAACTTAAGTAGTTATATGCCAGCCATGCCTTATAAAGTTCGTGAATTATTCGATAAAGCAACTAATATTGTTATGAACTACACGGAAACAGAAGCCAAAGTTGTTGAAGCGACTAATGATGAATCATGGGGTCCATCTGGCAAATTACTACAAGAACTTTCTCAGTTATCCTATTCCTATGAGCATTATACTGAAGTATGATGATCTTATTTGAATCCGTATTGAGTTTATCTTTAATTGCTATTATAGTTAATGGGAATGTTGTGGAAACGTTGTTTTGGACAAGATAAAAAATTATGGCGACGAACATATAAAGTATGTTTGACTCTATTGTACATAACTTGCCAGATAGATAACGATCGTCGAAGAAATGAAATGGATATGTTATCGATTTGCGATTAAGTTTTATCTTCTCTTGTTTACGTTGTAATTGAAGATAGAACAGATTTTTATTTTCACTTCATTGAAATGATAAATCCAGTTGGAGAATCGACTGATTCAATGTATGCATTTTGTTCTGTTTTAGTCTCTGCTCGTTTTAACCTACTTAATCAGAAACGGAAGCGATAAAGTAGTGACATCAGCACGAGAGCATCTCTATGATCTGAAAAGTTTGGAAAGTTTTTCCTATCATGATGAACAAGGAAAAGATCAAGGCATTAATGGTAAGACGACATTTACACGTACGGAATTATTTAACATTAACAATGGTTTATGTTCTCTAGTACGTCATAAAGTGAAAGAAATAGTTGAATTCATTCAAGATGACGATCGACTTCGCGATGAACGGAAGAAAGCGAAAGTCAATCGTGATAAATACGTTGGTGTTGGAAGTGATACATCGTCCTGCCGTTATGGTTAGTTTTCGATAATATTCGCTGGATTTCATTTGACAAATTACCTTCTAGGTGATCGCTGGAATGACTACGAAGAGTCCAGTAGTGGAAGTAATTCAACGCGAAAGAAAGATTTCGTTGAATTAGATGGTCGATGGCGATCGACAAATCCGTCGATATTTGAAGAAGGTTTTAACAAAGCGGAAGATTTAGCTAATAAAATGAAAGAAATGGTTCTTGATCAACGACGACCATCACACGATTATTCACCGGACGTTAGGTGATTATTCTGAATTTGCAGGGATGATAATTATCATGCGCGTCATCTGAGATAGATTGATGAATGCATTATTCTATCCATTCATAACATACTGAGCAAACTTCATTGTTAATCACCGGATCTTGACGTTTTTCTGTTTTATTTTTAGTGATGATGAAAATCGATACTCGAAAAAGAGTAACGAATATCACGATTCTACGTGGAATGATCCAAAACCAGAGTATCGTAATAAAACCAAGGTAAACGGCAAGAGAAATTTAACGAAAGACCAACATTTAACTATAGAAATTTTCGTCTGAGAATGAAAATGAAGCATTGTTTCTCATTGTAAACAAATTGCTCTGTTTGTCGTCTTTCATTTCTACTTTTTGTCTCGATATTTTTGCATTCATTTCGATTTAATTATAGGAGAGTGATTTTGAAGTCACAAAAACTTCAACAACAGCAAATAAAACTCGAGTAAGTTATGAAATTATCTCATAAGCGATTGTAAATTCTGAATGAAAGATAAAGAATACGGGATAGATAAGACACGAAAGAGCATATCAAGGTAATCGGAGGAGAACAATAGTGAGAATCTATTTGAAAACTAGACGATCGCCATCGAGACTATTTAGCAGAATTTAAATTTCCGGAAGAATGAAGGGAAAATTTTGTGAATGCTATTCTTGCTTCTTTCCATGAGCAAATTACCATTGTCTACTAATCAGGAATATGAATGCACGCATTGAAGCTTTATTAATCGCTAGGAGCATAAAAATAATTTAGTCAAGTGGAATGATTTTTTTATGAAGTAATCTTTAACCTATACCAAAACATCGAAATCGATAATAAGTTTATTACCAGAGTATTTATGACTAATATTATCATCAATTATGTATCAAACAAATAACTCTGTGATTATTGTCTATAGTCCTCGACAAACACGACTAAAAAACCACAAATGGCTGCGCCAGTTGCAACACCTGTAACACCTCAAGCACCTGTTGTTGATCTGTTAGGTGGTGATGACGATGACGGTTTTGCTCCATATGTTCAAGCGCCCACTACTCAATCACCACTTGATGATGATTTTGGTCAATTTCAAGAAGCAACAGATATTCCAACCAAACAAGTGATACCACCAACTACAGCGTAAACTCGCTTTCGATCTTCAAAATCACCCATAAAATGAATGTTCTTTTTTTCTAGAACACAAGCTTCAGTTTGGACAGCTAACACGAATTCTACTCCATCAGTTCCTCCATCTTCGGTGAAATTCGATCCATTTGATTTATTCCAACAAACAACAACGTCAACAGATCTTTTACAACCAATGTCTACAACGACAACAAAACCAGCATTCCCAACTACTAACAACTCATCATCAAATGATTTAGACTTTTTTATGACATCACCTCAACCAACTCAGCAAACGAACACGTTTTTCGCCCCTCAACAACAATCATTTGTACGTCCACAGATGTTTCCACCACAACAACCGATGATGTTTCCGTCTACACAACAACAATTCAATAGACCAAACAATAATTCATTTAATGTAAGTGTTTCGACTAAATATGTTATTTCAAAGAGACCGAAAGAGAAAGAAACCGCAACGAAGTACTGCAAAATACTAATTCTTTATATAGGCAGTCTTTCCGACCTCATCCCCTGAAGTAGATCAACAACAAAATCTTTCTACTTTGGAGAAACAGGTATCATCGCTGCTCTAACATTTTACCGCTTTTCATCAAAATCAACTAATTTTTCATGGGATTTCATTCTTTTGCATTGTTTGCTCTATTCAAATGTTTTCTTGAAAACAAATCGTTTTCTTCTCTCGCTTTCAGAATACTTGGACATCGGCACACGGTAAAATTGACATATCATTGAATAATTTAATTCCACATACTCGTGGCGATGCACAAAAATCTTCATTACCACTCAATCAACTCACCAGTCCAACCAGTCCAACAAATAGTGGATTTCCATCGCAAATGATGATGATGAATAATAACAATATTCATTCCATGTTTCCAAACTCAAGTATAAATTATTTTCATTCAATCTTCCCAATATCATCATCATCTTCTGTTCCCATTTTAGCACTTCCAACACACGGTGTAGGTAGCCGTCCAATATTGAAATAAAACTGTCGAAAGAAATCTTGAGTATATGTATGTGTCTGTTAAATCTGTATGTTGTGTAGAGCTTGTGTATTTATTTTCAGCGAGAGGCTTTATTGACTTATTTATTCTTTATTTATAATTATTAACAGACAAAATTAATCATTGTACAATTCATAGAAAAAGATTTAGTTGTTCAGTTAAATACCATCAATCTGCATTTTTTTCTTCTTCTTGATTTCTCTATATTTCGTCCAATTTTCTCTTTCTCTGTGCACACATTCCCTAACTATTTTCTTGTTCATTGAACAGTTGAATTCTGTTTTGTTTGTTGGGTTTTGTTTGACTCTGTCTGAAACTACTACTTTGTTCTGTTTTTTTCTCTTCTTACATGAAAAAAAATACTACATTTATGTTACTAATTCAATGCAACAAATATGTTTCACAATGCTCGATTGTTAACTAGAATTAATAATACTCTGTTTTCTTACTGTCAACAGAGAAATGAAATAAATATATACATATTTATAAATATAATAAACTAATTCTATCATTTAAATATCGGATCTATCGATTTTGTTCGGTTTATCACACACATTCTGTAGATCAGTATCTCAGTCTCATTTGAGTGATCATTATTGTTGAGAATATTTTCTGTTGAATGTTCATTATTAAAAATTTGAAGTCCAAATCGTAAGTTCAACGTTCCCAAGCATAAAACTCAAACTACTATGCTGATTAGTATCTATTATATGCAGAAAAACTTCGATTATTAAAGAAACCAATAATACCCTGTATTTTATTCAGTAAATAACAAAAAAAAATATATGCTGACTAAATAAATAAAGTATTTCATTCCACCAGATTGTTCTGACTAACAACATGTTTCAGATCTTCATTTTCAAACAATGTTGCATGATGCCCATTTTTCCCAATGTATAAAATTGCACGTGCTAATGCAGTCGATGTTATAGTCCATGATGGTTTCACCAGTGTCATTATATGAGCGAGAGGTTGAATAGCTCGTTCGTACCAAGCTTTGTTTGAGAGCGGTTGAGAAAATAAAACACTGGCTGGACGAACAGTGTAAATTTCTCTGAGACCACCTTCGTTGACTAGATCATTTTCAGTTTTACCTTTGACACGGCCGAATAAAAATCGACTTTGTTCAGTTGAATCGGCGCCCATTCCGCTGATAAATACAAACCTCATGGTCTGATTAACACTCGCGATAGCTTTCACTGCCGCGATTGTATAATCATGAGTAATTTCTATGTATTCGCGTTCATTCACAGCATTTTGTGATATACCTAATGCCCAAATACATATCTGATGAGTTTCAAATAAATTTAATAGTGAAGTGTAGTCAAGAAAATCCGCATGAAGTACGACATGAAGTTTGTCCGAAGTAATACAATTGTCAAATGGTCGACGTGTAACAACTGTGATAAGTTCAATATCTTTGTCTTCGATGGCTTGTCGAACACATTCGGAACCGATTCCACCGGTGGCACCGAATATGATTACTTTCATGATAACAACTAGAAAGAAAGCAAAGGAGATTACAGAATTATTTTGTTAAATTATATTTCAAAATGTATTGATTTATTCAGAAAAGCAAACTATATTATTCGTGATCGATTATGGACGGAATGAAGCATAGCAAAAGTGAAAACTGGCAAATAAAAAAAAAGTTTAAAAAAGACGAAAGTAGCGATCTGTGAGGACCATATCATCGACAAATCTAAAACATTCATATCAAGGTAACCAATGAGAGTGGCAAGAAAACAAATGAGGATTTTACTTTGTCATTTCAGATTGAGCATGAACGTGACGTTTTACATGAGTCCATGGCTCTCTTGTTTTCAATGGTGCATCTTTATTCCACCATCCAACTAGTAATCGAACGCATACATGTTGATGTTTGATGAAACAAATCAACTTTTCTTACTATCCTGAGCAGCAGTCATCGGACGCCGTGATGCTTGATATGGATTTTGATCGCCACGTACATGCATTGTACGAAGAGTATGATAATTTCTGATATAGAAAACAAGTAATTATCTTTAGTGGTTATTTCAGGATACTCACAAGTTCGATACGGCTGGTATTGTCCATTCCCGTGATTGTAAGTCTCCAGTCATTTCACGTGCTAGTTGTTTTTCCAGTGCGCTTTTTGTCTGACCTCCTGTTGGTACTTTTCGTAATTCAGACGAACCAGCATCAGTACTTGTTGGCTCCGAACGTTTTAGAGATTTGAACCGATCGTCATAGCCCATCAATGTCAAGTTGAAAAATGACATGGTTTAATCTAGAATAGACAAAAGTCTGTCATATGTCTTATTCTTCTTATTTTATTTGTTATGAACGTGATCATTTTTCTGGATGTCTATTATGTGGGAGACATTTCGAGGAGAGAAAAATACGTTTATAATGATTCGTAAAAATGTAATCGTATGAATGGATAGAAAAAATCCTATCTAAAATGAAAGCGAAAACTTTTTAGCAACTGCCTCTTCTATCGTCGAGAAGACATTGAAAGACAATTCTAGGCGTAAAAATCTTTTAATTAAAGTCCTTTATTGTAATAAACATAAGGTTGAGCCGTTTTGGCTTGGATCTCTTTTTCGAGTTCACTAGTCGCCACCTGTCAAAATAAAACATCTAAGGATAAACATTGAGCAGAAATTTATAATATTTACTTTGGATTTCTGTGGGAATAAAGCTATTGACATTGGTAATGCTAATCCAAATGAAAAAGTACATGCCAGCGTATTCAACGGTATGTTTAAACGCGGAAAACGACGAAGTATATTTCTGCATAAAACACAATGACTTCAATTGAATTACATAGAAATTCTTCGATCTTACTTTTCAAATGCTAACATAATAATAGGCGGTATAGAGAGTATAGGCACGGGTAGAAAGGCACGTGTCATTGCCATCTCGGTCAAGGCCTAAAGTACGAAAATCGAGACATAAAATTGATATTTTTTATGAAGCTAACCTTTTTCGCTGCTATTTGAGACACACCTATAGGCTTGTTTTGTTCGTCGATGACTTGAATACCCTCAGATAATTCATGAAAACGCATGAACAGAACATTGCAGGTACTTGCACACGCTAAATTAAATATGATTAGTAACTAATCAGGTGAAAGTAGTCTCGCCATACCAACAGCGGGTAATGGAACAAATCTCTCAACGATGGTCTTCCATTTTGGTGGAAGAGCTTTTGCACGACGAATGATCATCGTTAAACCAACCTACAAGTAATCACGAATAATCTTTTCATATAGCAACCAAATGAAAACAACAGTGAATTTACAGCGATCGAGACTGAAACAGTCACAGCACTTAAATAACCAATGGCAAATTTTGATGTTGGTGTATGTTGAGTTGCATTGCGATTTGCATAATTAACACCAGCATTATGACTATGAATAATAATAGAGGATATTGCATTTCTCATGAAACTTCAGCTGTGTCGATACCTTTGATTCAACCATTGCCAAAAGATTATCTGTTTTAACGTTGGATTCGGCATGAGAAGGCCAACGACAATCGGTGTACCAAATGGGACGTAACCTTTGATAAACAAGAAAATCTAATAAAGTTAATCAATTCTCTCGAGAAAACAATCAACTGTTATTTGTTTATTACATATCGAATAACATTTATGTTATTGAAGATATGCGTTGGAAGGGAACATTTCGATTTTTTCTGCTGAATATCATCGAGAAATACAACAAACATCCATCTTACCTGCCATTCGAAATGGCATGAAAATTTTCTTTCCCGTATCAGGATGAACAATTGCCTATGATGAAACTGATCAAGTAATCAAACCTTTCGAATACGAAGAATTACCTGAACAGTTTTCTGTGCTTCCCATAAATCTTTATCAGTGACACCTGCTGGTAATGTTTTCGATTGAAACTGCTCCAATAATTGACGACATTCGTTTAATTTAGCCTAAATAGATAATAATTTCATGATAATTCAATCGTTGACAGAATATTTCGAATTGAATTTACATCGCTAACAAACAATGTTCGAGGATCGATAATATTCATAAAATGTGTAAACCGTCCCCAATAAGTATTCTAATAATAAACCAATCATAAAGAAATTCATTAAAAACGTCGACAAATTCCAGTCTTACGAGGTCATATCTACTTTTTCCTAATTCAAATGGCGGATAAGACATTGTGATCTGAAAAACAAATAAATAATCATTACGTTGCTACGAGCCTCTTTCATTTTTATACAAATTTCTTTTTTGTTCTCTTTCTTCCTTACATATTAAAACGCGAGGAGAAAGAAGAGAAAAAAAAATGTCGATGTTACCTATCACTGCGGTCAAGGGCAAAGATTCATCAACTGACGACAACGAACGAAAAAAAAGTCAGTATCAACAACGAGATATGATCATAGATCTTCTTAAACACTATTCAACCGCTACACTTGATATGAAATACTGTAAATGTCTTTCTGATCGAAGGCAAACAATCGTATTTTCTTCTCCCTAGTTCAAGACAAAAATAATCGTATACCATTCGCACGTTGTCGTACATGTCTACATACTCGAACGATCTATGATTTTGAGCTAGAAGATCTTGATTTGAAGAAACAATCTTTATCAAAATATAGAAATCAATTATGTTTAATTGTGAATGTTGCGACATTCTGACGTGTTACATTTCAATATCTTCAATTGAATGCATTACAAGAAGAGTTTGCTTCAACGAATCTATTTACCATTCTCGCTATTCCATGTAATCAATTCGGTTATCAAGAACCAGCTGAAAGCAAACTTGAATTGTTAAATGGTTTAAAATATGTGCGACCTGGAAATGATTTTATTCCGAAATTTCCTCTCTTTTGGCTTGTTGATGTCAACGGAAAGAAACAACACCCTTTGTATGAATATCTCAAGTTATCTATACCATCGCCGAGAAAGGATTTCGAAGATCATACGGCGATATTCTATGAACCACATCATTCCGATGATATTCGATGGAATTTTGAGAAGTTTCTGATTGATTTCAATGGACATCCAATAATGAGATTTGATAGTGATGCTGAACCACTATTCATTCGACAATTTATTGAAAAACTTCTCCAGATGAAAAAATATTTCGACAAGTAAACAGAAAAAAAGAGGCGCATTTGTTTTTATTCATTTCGTTCTGTCCGATGATGACTTGTTCAGAAACCAGTTCTGGATGAATAAGTCGGATGAGATTCGCTTTTCGAGTCATTTATGTCTATTCAATGCATTCAAGTCATAAATGAATCATCGAAAACAAACAGAATTGAAATGAATAAAAACTAGGCTGACTGATTTGTAGAAAAAAAAAAGAGAATAAAATCTATTTTATCTGCACGATAAAAGACAACAAAACGTAGATGTCGGATAGAAAGGTAGAAAACGATATGGTAAAAATAAGCACCAAGTATAAAAAAAAATGAGATTAATTATTATCGTTAGGCGTGGTTGATTGCAAAAGAGGGGTTCTAGGAGCAGCACCTTCTTCTATATTTGTTGGAGCTAGAAGAAAAAGAAAGATATCATAAAAGACGATCGCCGTTCGACTCTACGTACCGGATTTTCGATCTTTTGAACCCAAACGATTTCGATTGGAGATTCCACAACAGAAATAACAAATCAATATCGATGAAACATCGACTGATATGATAACCAAGAGAACGGCAAAAAGAGCCACTTTTCCATGAAACGATAACGATGGTCGATTTTGACCTAGATATGCAAATGATACAATAAAGTTGAAAGTCATAAAGTAAAACGTACTGTATTCACAATGCGATTCATCAACGCGATTCGGACAGTTTTGATATCGATCACAAACGAGACTACGATCGATACAATACGTATCTGTAAAACAATCGAAACCGCACGGCGTAAACATTCCTACAAATGGAAATTTGCAAGTCAATGCTCGTCTTATTCTTTCTTCGAAGATATTTACGTGTTTTGAATTTCAGTGGTGTGACGACCATTGAAAACTTTGAGATTGGAAACTTTTCTAATCGATGATAGATTACTTTTAGTCGTTCAGTGTCCAAATAGTATTCAGCACCCTCTGTTGTATTACAATCAATAGGAATCTGTAAAGATAGTCAATGTTTATGCCTCTTTCTCGATCATAGTAGATTTATTACCATTTCACCGGTTTCAGCTTCAATAATTACATATTCTGTTCGACACGTAGGTGGTTTCAACAAGTGAATATAAAATCTCGTTGAGATTGATAAATTAGCAGCAAGAGATGAGCCGTTCAACATTGGTAAACAGCAACTTTGTAGGTTTAATTCACATTTACCAAGCCATGGTGTTCTAAATCTCACAGATATTCATATCAAGAGAATCCTTTCCTGGAAAACATACCCAGCATATCGAACAACACCGGCATCAAGTGTGAATGTATTCTGTGCATTGCAATAAGGTCCGTAAATATTCTCGAGATTAACTAAATGAAAGTGAAAGATGTGCACTAGTCTTCATTTGTAAATTTTTCTTCTTACAATATGTGACTTTAGCCGATAATGGTGATAATAATAAAAAAGGGATAAGAAAACTATAAACTAACATCTGAAATAGATCATGAGAATATGTTATTTATATGACAGATGAGAGAGCCTTTATTCATGATATGACAAACATTTACATTTCATTTCAGTGGAAGATTCATTCAATAGGAAGCAAAAAAAACGCCCTCAGCCAAAACATATCAAGAAATGATACTCACAAAAGTAGTCGAACATTATCTGACTTGAAAGAAAGAGAAAGGAAAAAGAAGAAAAACGTATCAGCGAGATTATGAATATGTATCCGACAAGAGAAGATCCACATTAAATTGATTAATTAGATGTATTCGTACATATGTATGTTGAGATGTTTGACATCATGAGAGATGAGGATAAACAGGTTTTGTTGAATCGATAATTAATGGTGCCGGTTCAGTATGTTGTTGAGGTAGAGTCTCAACGACATGCGATGTGGTAAGACCTCTCATTAGACCAGCATCTTCACCCGTAATCATGGTCGTATCATTTTCTAAATATTTGAAAACAACGAATAAAAGTAGGGGATAGTTGAATATTTATGTACTTTGAAACAGTTTCTGTTTTTTCGATGGATGAAAACGACGAATAATTGCATGGCATGCAGCCCGACAGAAACAACATGCAAAAACTAACAAATAAAAGAAATAAATAGGATGGCGCATATGAAGAAAAGAAACTCACTTGTTGATACAATACAAACAACAAAGAGAAATCCTATTATCAGAAGAATAATCAGTCCTAGTGGAAGATAACCTTCTCCATAAGAATCTAAATTGAAAGGAAAAAAAGCTTCAAGAAATTATTCGATCTTTTCACCTTACGTTCACAGTGATATTCGTCGTCCCCACTAAAACATTCGGTTCGTCCATTACATCGAAGTTCTCGAGCAATACATGAACGAGGATAATCTTTGGGACATTGAAAGAATAGATCTTTATTCATGCATGGTTCTAAATATCAAATTACATTGATAACCAATTTGAGCAAAACAAATCTTCGTAACGGACCTTTTGCTAACGCAACAAGTTGAACATCGACGACCCGTCTCGATCCTTGATAAGTGACATTCCGTTTCGATGTTAATGAAATCGAATTACACGGCATGACGATACCACTTGTATTCGTTCGGCATGTATATTGAACAGATGAAGGCATTGTCTGAAATGAAATTCACAAATAACTTTTCTCTGCTTCTCTCATGTTAATACATACGTGTTGAAAGAGAGCACTGCCTGGTAGACATTCGATAGTTATAATCGATGAGCAATCCATACCATGAGGAAGATAGATTCCAAAGCCATTTTGTATTTCTGATATCCATGGATTAGTTATATGTACTGAACAAGGATCGATCTTTTCAGCAAGTATGGGTGAGAAACTAATCAGTGCACTATATGCATCTGTGATGGTATTATTTGTCTCGATTGCCCAGCAATTATCGATAGAATTGATTAGAACTAGAATAATCAAATGAAATCAATCAAAATGGAATAACAAAACGAACTTACATCTATCGACAGACGAAGAAACGCTTGCTATGAAACAAATTAAGATGAAAAATCGCATATTCATCTAAAAAATAAAACAAACTTTTCAATCAATTAATATTCTTTTTTTATTTTTAAATTCAATTTTTCATACACAAAACAATATATTTTTAAACAAGAGCAGAAAAAATAAAAACATAGTTATAACATGAAGGATATTGATGGCAAAGTGAGTACATAAATATATAAAGACATATGACAGTCAAATAACCAAGAGCATAAAAGATAAATAAAAATTATCATCGCATATACACCTATGCTCAAGCGATACAATAAGATCTATCAGGACAAACAGAAACAAGAAAAATATAGAAACTTTGATTTTGCTCCACACATAAAATGAAGGGGGAAAGTTAGTGGTAGTAGTAGATAGAAAGTTGTTTTACTACGTTTATATACAATGACAATATAGCACTACAAAGAAAAAGAAAAACAAGTCACTGCAAGAAAGAAAATAGGTTTTTCTGCGGAGACAGAATGTACATGAAGAAAGAAAAATAATAATAAACCGGCTTAACACTGTGATATCCCTTTTCTATATGGATTTGTTTTTTTCAAAAAAAATAAAATAAACAGTATCCTCTTACCGATGGACATGTATGGTTAAAAAAAAAGAAAATTACTGGAAGACTAAAGATTATTTCTATTAATATAGTTCCTTTGAATAGTTCCACTCTCTGCGTGATGGTTCGAATCGGACATGTGATCAATTGAATTTGCGGCAATAACATTTGTATATTCAATATGGGAATCATTGATGGCAAGATGTGTGGATGGATGGAGAATTTTCGTTTCAGATAGAATTGCTCGTAATTGAGTATTTTCGCGTTCGACACGAGCTAATTTGTCACTCACTTGTTTTATTTGTAATTTATACTGTTCTAAGTTTCCTTCGAGCTGTTCAATGTACTGCCGGCGACGTTCTCGACAACGTCGTGCTGCTTCACGATTGCTATCACGAATTTGTTTCTTTCGTTGATCCTCCGTACCCACATTTGAATTCGAATTGTTTGTTGTCGATGGTATTGCATGCGATGCATTACCAGATGTTGATGAGGATGGAAATGGTGGACGAAAACTCATACTTGTTGTATTCATTGGTATTGGAACTGTTCTTTGACGTTTCACATTCGTTGATAAATCACTTGATGACACCTCATTTAATGATGGCTGTGGAATGATTAGTGTACCTGTTTTAGTCATTGCCGGATTACCCGTACCTAAAATGAGAGAGAGAGAGAAAAAAACAGATGTATATGATTAAACTCAAACAATCTTTGTTCTACCAAGATTAGCTTGTGGATATGGTCGCTTATTCTGGTTAATACTGTTCATAATGATAGTTTGTTGTTTATTCAGCGAATGCGGTAAACCATTGTGATCTAATCTTAGCTGTATATTTAGATCATTGGCATTATCTATGGTAGATTTGAACTGATGATTATTATTCACATGAGTATCACTATGATGTGTTCCTGCGTGTAGATCTGGTATGCGTGCAAAACTGTTATTCATAGAATCATCCATTGAATTTTCATCATCGAAACCATTTTGTGTATTTGAAATACTATTATCACTTTTTTGAGATTGAGAATTATTATTATTATTCTGTATTGGTGATGTTGGCTCTGTATGGGATTGACTTCGAATAAGGAACTTCTTCTTCGGAGAGACAATATTACCCATATTTATTGTTGGCGGAGAATCATAACGAATATTATCACCATTCATTGTACTTGCTTCACGTTCATTTGTTTCATTGGTTAATGTTTTCGCTTGAAGCGTTAACGGATTTACATTTGTCAATGCTTCTAGTTCTTTAACAACCTATACACAAATACAAAGTGATTGATGACTCATTAAAAGCTCGTATCATACATCTGCTGTTGATGGGACTTCAACTGTTATTCCATCATCGGTAACTATGACAGGAACTGGTTTATCCAAGTTGAAAACGGGCGTTGATGATATTTTTTGAAATGGCGACGGTGTCGGCTTACGTGGTTCACTTAAACTTTGCTTCAGTTCATCTTCGATTCTTGATACTTTCACATCGGCCGACGTCAATGGCATTTCACCGTTCGTCTTCGTAATCATAGAAGACAAATTCGACGGTTTAGGATTCTCGTTATTATTGTCAGCTGTAGGTGTGGAATCCATTGAAAGAAATGACGGTTTGTATGTCTGGAGTGGCATAACAATATTTGGTGTCATTATTGATGGAGTGTCTAATGTATTCGATACTCCTTCGAATTCTGCTTCGTCTGCTTGCATTGAAAATTCAATTTACAAAATTAAATAATAAAAAAAAAACAAATCTAAAACGAATATATTATGTGTGAAATCGAGAAGAAAGAAAACAACAGGAGAGAAATCGTAGATTGTTTGCGTAAAAACGATGCAGATAGCAGAGATAGATCGTATGGTGACTTAATGCATTTTATCTTGGAATTTTTTCATAAACAAATAAACAAATATATTCAGATACAAAAACAACATAAAGACAGAATAAAAAATCCCAAAAAAAAAACAATCAATCTTCAAATGCGAATGATTTTCTTTCAAAGATAATCAAATCAATTTTCTCGACCAAAAAAAGAATCTTATTTTACTTTTCAGTCAGCAAAAATAGACTTTAATAAAAAAGAAAAAAAACACAACAACAACATTTGTTTTTCGATAGATGTCGCTTTAATGATTTATTAATCTCTTATTTATACGACGCAGTTACAAGACGAAGAACGAATAAAAAAATACTCATTCGAATAGCTTGCTTGTGAATAAAAGAATGTCATTTCACGGTGTGCATCTTATTATTATCATTTATCTCTTCTTATGTGCAAAAATAGATACTTCACCTGAGTATGAATCAGGCGATGTTAATCATGAGAAAACGAAGTATTTTCGTGATGAAAACCAGCCATTGTTATCGCCCACGGATGTACAATGGGAGAAATATATTAAGTTGATTGAGCAAGCCGAAAAAGATCATTTGAATCGAACAGACGATCCAAATCTGACAGTATTTCATCAACAAATCGACCGAGACTTTTCCTACTGGAAAAATCAATCGATTGATGGCATACGACGACAGCTAACTGTAAGCGAAGCTACTGCACATGCTCATCGTCTTACGCTCTATCAGATCATCAATCATCGTTTATACCGTCAAACTGAAGATCAATTGATTTTTCCAGCACGAAATCATGGCATCGAACACTTTCTTCTCAACATCATCGATTCCTTACCCGATATGGAATTTTTATTGAATACTTACGATTGGCCACAAAATCAACCCACTATCCCAATCTTATCATTCAGCAAATCATTAGATTCTCGTGATACAGATATTCTCTATCCAGCTTGGGCATTCTGGGATGGCGGGCCAGCATTGGGTAGTGTCTATCCAACAGGTATCGGTCGATGGGACGTTATGAGACAAACGCTGAACAAAGCTCGCCAAACTTACCCATGGTCGAAAAAAGAATCCCGTGGCTTCTTTCGTGGCTCACGAACATCGCCGGAACGTGACCCGCTTATTTTATTATCTCGCAGCAGTCCTGACTTACTCGATGCACAGTATACAAAAAACCAAGCGTGGAAGTCGGACGAAGACACATTAGGTTACCCACCAGCGAGTGAATTAAAACATGAAGACTTCTGTCAGTTTAAATATTTATTCAATTTTCGTGGTGTAGCTGCATCGTTTCGTTTACGCCATTTGTTTTTATGTGGTTCACTTGTTTTACATGTTGGATCTGATTGGATTGAATTCTTCTATGATCGTCTTGAACCATGGTATCATTACATTCCAATTTCGACTGATTTACATGAAGTCAAAGATATTCTATTATTCGCACAAAGCAATGACCGTTTGGTTGCAAAGATTGCCCGACAAGGACGCGATTTTATCTGGAATGCACTCACAATGCAAAATGTCGAACTTTACTGGAAAGAACTATTATTGGAATACTATAAATTGTTCGGAAATCCTCAAAAGCCCGTTACAAAGAAAGCCAAGTTTATGCAGATACATCGACGTCCGAAACCTTAAAGTTAAAACTTCTGCGTTCTTGCTTTTTTTCTTGCTTCGATTAACTGTCAGATCTGAACTAATACGCTACCTCATTTGTTTTTTGTTCTTTTTATTAAACATTCATTCCGTGCAATGCAAGGTGCTTCGTTTTGAGAGAATGTTTTTATCTTTATTCTTTTTTGCAATAAAAAGAAAAACAACGACGTTATTATCAATCAAATAAGCTAATCGCTGTATTATAATTGATCGGACAATCGGTAGTAGGTGTTGTTTTTATTTTATTTTTTTTCTTGCGAGACCGATTTGATCGATTACAATCATGTTCAAACATCTAAATAGAAAAGAACGTGAAGAAACAACAAATAAGTTATCAAAAGACAAACTTCATCGTAATCGATTTCTAACAACGGATGAATCTCTCGTTCATGATTCGTTTTTCGTAGAGACATCAATGCAAGAGCACAAGTAGCCACATCGGGATGATGGTGATGAGTTAATGACTAGAAATTTTGATAGATTTTCAAAGATGATCGGTGATAGTTTTATGATTTTACTTCGATTTCCCATAATGAACTATCGATGGCATTTGATTTGTTTGGATCTCGTTCTTCGGGTGAATACGTGTCATCTTTGACTGGTGAAGTCGATTGTCGATCGATCATGACTCGAATGGTCGGATGTCGAACAATTAAATTGTAAATAAATGTTATGATTAAACATTGATCATGTTGTGGAATCAATAAAGCTAATCGAGCAAGACGTTTAGCAAAACTAGCTACTAAATTTGCTGGCAAATGTCTAAATAGAATATTTCAACAAACTTATTTTCTATGAAAACAAAGGTAAACATACGAGGATTGAAGAAATATATCGAGTAAATAGAAAAATCTCGCTTTATATTTCGCACTGAACAAATCCACAGTTAATAATGCATAGAGTTTACCAAAGAAGAATGGATATTCCAGATTATATTGGGTCAATAATACATAAAGACCATGTAGTGCAAGAATTTTTGATGCATTGTTTTGTGTCTCATATGAACTTGTCAAGAAATCGGCTAGAAGTAATGGATTGGCCATGCGTGGAATTATTTTTGTAGGCATTTGTAATAGAATCCGACGGTACAACGTTGCATCCAACTAAAATTAGTGAGAATGTACTTTAAAGGGTGTGGATAGCTTTTTTCCCCGAAGATCTTTTCATATTGGCTTAAAGTATTTGTAGAATTCGGTCTTGAAACTGATATTTTTATATTATCTCGCCCGAATTTGTTATATGCATATACATTACCTTATCTGAGGATAGAAATGCCAATAGACGTGCGTCATATTTTTGCTTATCTTCTAAACTTTCACTTGTTGATTTTCTTTTCTTCTTCGATGGAAACAAATATTCAATTAATTTGTCGTCTTTCATATTAATCTAATAATAATCAAAGAGAAAAAAAACATGAATTATTGGAGTTTTCGTTTATTTGTCGATCTTCTTGGGAAAAAACGAACAAATGAGAACGCATACATATATATCCCTGAGAAGATCTTTTTCTTTCTTCTTGAATTTCTTTGCAATAATATATATATATAAGTACACATGTATATAAAGATGAAGAACACGTTCTCTAGCGTGCACAATAAAAAATAAGTTTTCTGTTTCTGGTTTCGACTAGAAAAAAAAATAAACGGTCAAGCTGANGCATTTCTATCCTCAGATAAGGTAATGTATATGCATATAACAAATTCGGGCGAGATAATATAAAAATATCAGTTTCAAGACCGAATTCTACAAATACTTTAAGCCAATATGAAAAGATCTTCGGGGAAGAACACGTTCTCTAGCGTGCACAATAAAAAATAAGTTTTCTGTTTCTGGTTTCGACTAGAAAAAAAAATAAACGGTCAAGCTGACTAACTGTACATCGAAGATATAGAAAAAAAAGACAGAAAGAAAACAATTATCAAGTCGTAGAAGATGAAGACGAGGCAGGTGGAGGGGATGATGACGCTATTTGTTCGTTCATAACTTGCCCAGCTGACAGTTGTGTTGTTGTAGGTGAAGAACTGAGCGCAGCTGTGGTACGAATATGAAATTGGGGAACTAATCGATTCAAAGTCATTGAATTTGTCGCGCTGGAAATTGTTGTTGGCGACTGAGCGCGTTGATTTATATTTGATGGTCTTAAATTTAACTGTTGCATCAGACTTTGTCGAAATAATCCAGATGCATTTGTTGTTGCTTGATCATCTCCACCCGGTGAGGTTGTTATTGATGGTAATTGAAGAACAAAATTAGCTTGAGAGGTTTTACCTGTCAAGCCGAGCGCTGCTGGGTCAATTAACGATGTAGATTTGATCTTGGCCGTTGGACCTACAGTTGTTGTCGACGGTGTTGATGCACCAGATATTGTTCGTGCTGGAACAAGTACTGCACGTGGAGCTTGGGTTGGATCATTAGCATCTGTAGTTGTAACTTCGAATGATTTAAGACGTTGTATTTGTGCTGCTATATGAGGTGAAATGTCTTGTTCGATATTAATTGTTGAACGTGGTATTAATGTAGAAGTTGAATTTGCGCGACTATAAGTAATATTTGTTGGTTGCAAAGTTGTTTGGGATGGATTTATTGTTGTTGTCGATGTTGTATCACCAATGCCTGTCGTTGGGGTGGTTCCAGCGTTAAATGTTACGATACGCACATTACGGACTTGACCGGATAGAGCGGCTGCGCGTGATGTAAGTAATTGTTGAAACTAGAAGAAAAACAATGAGATATTCAAAAAGCAGCTTTTCGATACTTACATTCGTTGGTGAACGCTGTGCAGCTTCTGTTAATCGTTGCGCATTCGTTGTCGATTGTGTTTGCAGAGGGTTGTTAGCCGTATTTGTAATTAACTGTCGAATTTGTGTTGGAATTGTTTGAGTTTGGGATGTAGGTTGTTGTTTATTAGGTAGAAACGTTGTTGTTGTCGTACGTAGTTGTTGAGGAGAATTATTTGTTATAGTTGTTGCGCCTCCTGTTGTATTTACTGATGTAGCTAATTTGTCTATGTAGAAACAAATGAGGACAATGACATTTGTCAATAACTAACTCGACTTACTTGTTGAAGGTAGAGTGATATTGACAGAAGGAAGGTTCGAAGGTGATGTTGGAGAATTTGACACTGGTGGAGTATTTGATGTCGGCGGATGTTGCGCTGGACGAACAACAGCAATCGGAAGAGTTGATTGAGACTAGAATGTGAATAGATAGAATAGGCTATAACAGTTTTTCCAATTAGAATTACAGTTGACGATGTGAGAGGTTTAACTTGTTGTTGAACAGGGTAGTCAATCTGAGATTGTGTGATAGATTGTGGACGTGGCGTGGTTGACGGTGGTCGCTGTTGTGGTTGTGTCGGTTGAGATTTTGGAGACGATAGAGTTTGAGAACGGCCTTCGAGAGCAGTTAGCATAGGTGTCTAAAGTGGAAACGATTGTATTGTAAACAGGGTGATTTTCTTTTAGAAATAGTTGAGTTTTCACATACTTGAGTTTGATTTCGTGTAAAACTATTTGGTGCACGAACTTGAAGATTCGTAGTTGGCGTTGCATTGACACCTGTTTGCTGCTGTTGCTGGTGTTGTTGTGAAACACCACGGACATTGCGGTAATCATTCACAGAAATTTGAACTACGGAAAAAACATAGTCCGTCGAGACGTAAAACGCAAATCTACTCATACCAGTTCCAGTTTGTTTCTGCTGTGATGTAGTTACTTCATTTGTAGGCAAATTATTGGATGGTAAAACTTGCATTGGCCTTTGACCAACAATAGTAGTAGTAGTCGGGATCAATGATTGCGATGATGAAGACGTGGAATTGATGGCCGTAGAAGATGGAAGCTACAAAGTTAGAAAACCAGACGTATTTTACCTGTGGAAAGAATGAGTTTCTAGTACGTACACTCGATCGAGGTGGTAAAGTGGCGCTTTGCGAACGAGTTGAAGTGATACTATGATGGTCGTTAGTAGCAACAATGATATTATTTGAAACAGTTCGTTGAATTGTAGGTGGATTGGATGGAGATGATGTTTGAATGAGCGATAAAGGTGTTGAAGGTGATGCATTGACTGATGTAGGAGTATTTTGTGATAGTGATGGACGGATCTAAATAGAGTATTGCTGAGCGGGAAAGAACAAAAAGAAATTGACTTACTCGAGAATTCATTGCTGGTGTCAATACGGCACTCGCAGATGAAAGCTGTTGCTGTTTGATAGTTTCAATACTAGTGGGTGTAGTGGGTATCTGTTGTTGTGCAGGAACAGTGCCAGTAATAAGCTGAGTGATCTGTTGTTGTTGTTGCTGTTGTTGCTGTTGTTGTTGTTGTTGTTGTTGTTGTTGTTGTTGTTGTTGTTGTTGTTGCTGCTGCTGCTGCTGTTGTTGCTGCTGCTGCTGCTGTTGTTGTTGTTGTTGTTGCTGTTGCTGTTGTTGTTGTTGTTGCTGTTGTTTTAATTCTTTCTCCCGTTCTGACCGTTGATATGAAACGTCACCAGGTGCCAATGGAAGATCGATATTGATATCTGAATCACACACAATTCAAAACATCTTCTCCGAACAAAGAGTCACTTACTGTTCTCTTGCAACAGTGAGCTCGGTTTCAAGCCTCGCATATGATGATGTGCAACTTGAGCAGCTTGAATTTGTTTAAATTTATTTAAATAGACTAATGATGATAGCTGCTGATCAAATTGAGAAATACTTTCGAACTTTTGATGATAGATTTGGACTAATTTCTGGCAATTATCATGAACAAATAGTTGATTTGTACGTAACATTTGCCAGTTATCATCTGACATCTTCAAATTCAAATATATAGAGTAGAAAATAGGTTCTTTTTTCTTAGCACTGATCTTACTTTGACAGATCCTTTTATGACATGTTTCTTCTTTTTGATGAGATCGTACACGACCCGACCTTCTTCTCGTGGACCGATAACTTGTTCAAAACGGTGTTTACATTGTTTGGGCGTACGTAACACACGCGAATAACGATTCACGTTATCAGAAATAAAATCCCAATTCTGCGTCAGTGCATTTGTGGTATTATTTACCATTGATGAGGATGCTGACGACGATGGCAGTGTTGATGGTAATAATGGTGATGACGATAAAGATGTGTTGGACGACATCGATTGTGGTTTGTTAGCATTGGCGGTACTCGAGAATGACATGGATGATAGTGGTAATTGCTGAATATTTTGAATGGTGTCCAAAACTTTGTAATCTTCGGATATGAGCCAATCGCTGTTGTCGATTTCTAATAAACCTTGAAGGTTATCTTTTGAAAGGATTTCTTCTAGTTTGACAGGTCGCGGCGTATTTGATGCTGATGCCGAAACAATCACGTTCGAATTCGAAGTATTCGGCAGTGGAGTTGTGGTTGTACCATTGTTAACATACAATTGACGAGCTTTGGTATTTGCTTGTGGTGGTGTTGTTGGAGTGGTAACATTTGCTGGAAAGATTTTATTATTTGTTGGTGTTTGTTTTGGTTTGTTTAATGTATTTGTTGATAACGAGGATGACTGAGTATTGAGCAGTAAATTCGATCGATCGAACAGCGAACGTGGCACAAGAATATTCGTATCCATTTTGGACACATTCGTTGCATTAGCAAGTGCTAAAAGAGATACTATAAAAAAACCCTGATCTGATAGTATTCTACTTTTACCTTTTGGTAATGGGAACCGAACGTATTCTTCTGATTCGATAAGCATTGCTTCATGTTCATAACCAATATCAAGCTCATCATCATTGTAGAATTCCTGATCTTCATCTGCTGAATACTTCATTATAATACCACACCATATCTAATAAAACGCGACTATTCAAACACTCGTTCGAAATGTAGTTATACAAACCTCAAACATCTGTCCATCTTCCGTAACCCAAATCTAAACAAAGGAAAAACAAATTAGTTATTTGTCATTTGGTGTTTTAATTATTGTTTCTTCCAGAAGTCTAACTGTAGATCTTTATTCTCTACCAAACTATCTTTGTATACGTATATGTATATTTATATTTCACCTTTCTTTCGTTGTCCCGTGCATATGTATACATCTTTTCATCATCTGCTTGTTCAAGTTGTTTGTCTTCTTCTTCTTTCAATGCTTTCAAACGTGATGAATGCCAATCTTTTCGAATTTGATCTGTATCAAACTAGAAGTATGAATAAAACTCTAGATTACAATGAGCAGTTGAATACAACGGATTACATGGCTATTAAAATTCATTTGTGTCAAATCATATTCGTCACGATTGGTTTCCAAACAACGTAACACATATCGTTCAATCGGTCGAAGCTAGAATATGGCAAAAGGAAAGCATTTTTTCGGTTCAATTGAACAGAATATCGATAGATTTATACCTGATCATCAAGTGTTTGTAATTCTTCTTCAACTTCGTCCATTTGTCGTTGATGTTGTTTGTCAGTTATTTGTTCTTCATTTGTTTCTCCTTCATTGAATTCATGCATATTGTTTATCATTTCATTGATTAATTCATCAGCAGCTTGACGATCTGATTCATCTTCGACTGAAGCAATAGCTTCTTGAAATTGTGTCGCAGTTAGATCTTCGTCAGTTGTGCTCAACGATCGATTAGCGTCAACTGATTGACCGAATAATTGACGAATATGATTCTAGTATATCAAGAAGAAAAACAGTAAATCACATTGATGTAAAATACGACTAATTCATACCTTTTGAAAATAACTGATATCGAAACTACGATCATCGACAGTGATATCACCGAGTAAATGTTTTTGATTGGCATTTTGCAAGATATTTTCTTCCACTGTGTTTTCACTGATGAGTCTATAGAATAGATAATTTAGATATTCAAAGTATTTCATATAAAACGAAGATCCTTACCGATAAATATGGACGTCTTTCACCTGTCGAATTCGATGACATCGATTTTGTGCTTGGGCGTTCATTATTGGATTCCAATCCGAATCATAAAAAATAACTGTATCAGCACCGGTTAAATTCCCATCAATCCCTCCTGCACGTGTCGATAGAATGCAAACGAAGATCTTGTTATCACTATTGAATCGTTCTATCAATAATTGTCTTTGTAGGACAGGCATTGTTCCATCTAGTCGTACGTATGTATAAGCATGGTAGTTCAAAAATCTTTCGAGAATATCGAGCATTTTGGTCATTTGAGTAAAAATTAAACAACGATGTTCGTTTTGTTTGAAATCAGAAAGTAACTGATGAAGTGTTTGTAATTTTCCACAATCATATTCAATCAATTGTCGTTCAGGAAATTGTAGTAGCATATTTTGTTGTATATCGTTCATTGATGAGAGAACATCGAAATCAATCGAAGATAGAACTTCAATTAAAGGTTTTTCAGTCGTCGCTTTTGTTGTTTGAGAAATTCCATTCAGTCGAGACAACTCAACGGGAAAAGCTAATACACGTGCTGTGCACAGGATAAATCGATCGAGTATATCTTTCAATTCATCTAACCTATCTCGATTCGGTTTAATTAATGCTCGAAGTGCATTTGTCATTGACATATAATCTTTTATCGTTGTTAAACTTTGATGAACATGTTGACATAATGCATAACCATTGAATATCGTTCGATTTGAGGAATAGCATGGATGCATGACTGATTCAATTTGTTGAAGAAGATCAGAACCATATAATGGACAATTTTGACATCGTTCTGCATTAATTTCACATAAGAATTCATAACGAGTCAAACGTTCTTCTTCACGTTGTTTACAAATCTCATCGTATATTTCATCCGATGGAAATTGCCTTTCAATTAACAGTCTTGGTTTCATCCTGGAACGAGTGCGAAGATTTCTTAGCTTCCCATTGGTCTGAAACCATGCTGATCCATCTCTATATCGTTCGATAATATCTGTTGTTAATTGGATTCGCGGAAGATGATGATCATCATCCATATCATCCGTATTCAAGTGGTTGATCGCGTTCATAATCATCTCTCTAGTTGCTTGTAAAGCAAACTGAATTCGATAACTAAAGAATGCATCATTACGCGAAGAATTCAAGGCTAAATATGGATTTTTGAATCGAAGGTCAGTAACTAATGTTGGTACATCACATGTAATCGAATGCTTTTGAAATACAAATGGTGAAATGATTGGTCTTGGTTCAAATAGATCTGGATGATTACAAACTTTCCTTAATTGCATAAGTATATTCATCATAGACACATAAGACCCCTGTTGAATAGTATCACGTGTTGACTGACATTGAATGAAATTTTCATATAATTCTCTTTGTCTTTCCGATAAACGGCACATTAGAATATGTTCATGCTTATTCGGCAGTTGTTTTTCCACATCATTTGTCGAACGACGTAAAACAAACGCACTTAAAGTCTTGTGCAAACGCTTTATTATTGAATCATCCGTTTCTGTTGACGAATCTGGAAACCATTCACGAAAATCTTCATGTGATGCAAGTAAATTTGGTATTAGAAAATGCATCAGCGACCACAACTCTACTAATGAATTTGGTAAGGGTGTGCCAGTCAATAATAATCGACGTTGGGAATGAATGTTTAACAATGTTTGCCATCGTGGTGATTGAAAATTTTTAATATTTTGTGCTTCGTCTAGAATGAGATATTTCCATTGTTTTCGTTGAAAAAGTTTTGTATCTTGCAGAAGAAGTTTATATGATGTAATACAAATATGAAATGCATTCACATTTGTCCATTCTTGACACTCTTCTATGAAACCATGATAAGTCAAAATTTTAAATGCAGGAGACCATTTCTTCAATTCTAATTCCCAATTAAGCATAACATTCGTTGGAACAACGATTAAATGTGGACCCCAAACGCCTTTTTTACACGCTAAATGTGCAAGCAAGGCAATGGTTTGAATTGTTTTACCTAAACCCATTTCATCAGCTAATATACAATTGAGTTTATGTTCATAGAATGTAACTAGCCAATCGAAACCCACATGTTGATAATCTCTCAATGAATGTTTAAGCAGAAAAGGCACCGGTATGTTAACTGAAGTTGTCTGGAGTGTGAGACCTGTTGGTTGTAATGATTGAGCTGCTGATGCAAGATCTTCCACTTGTTTCTCGGTTGTAATTGGTTCTTGATTTGATGGAGGATCTTGTTCGTCGAGTTCATCATCAAGTACTTCACACAATTGACCATCATCGAAATTATTGTCTGCATTTTCCATTGATGAATCTAATAGATCAATTCCATAGTGACGTTTCAATAGAGTGTCAAGCGATTCTTCTTGACCATCTTTTAATTCTTGTAATTCATTCAAATCATATTCATCTGGTTCGTTTTGTTCCTCACGTTCAATAGTTTCTTCATCATCGGTCTCTTCATCCATGTCGATTTCATTGTTTAAATGTGGCACAGCCGAATTTCTCAATGATTGTACCAGCCAATCAGAATATTTCTCTGGTTGATCGACACTGATATTCAAAGGTAAATCTAACTGATATTTCCTTAGTTGTTGTGTACGTGTTATTGCTTTATATTCAGCGATGTTATGGATATTTTTCCAGAAATGCATTACTTCTCGGCATGCAAATTGTGCATGTTTACGTAAATGTTTGATTTCGTCGTGTTGTTGTTGCTGTTCAAGGTTTTGTTTATCGCGAAAATATTTGAGAACCGCTAGAGAAAGCTTCTTTGCCATTGCTTGTTTCCAACGTTTCTCTAGTTCGAAATCTTCAGCTAACCAACGCATTTCATCGAGCAGGTAATCCCAATGTGTTTTACGTTTGTTTGGCTCTAAACATTTCGCTAAACGTTGATTCGTCCATTTACCATCAGCTTTTAATTCATCTATTCGCTTTAAGATAAGTGTTTCATGTTTAACACGATCAACAGATTGACTTGTGGAATTCATCGATTGGTATCGTTGACGTTTACCGTTTCGTGAAGGTGGCGTCGATGGTACATGATTAATATCATGGAGATTCTTTTCAACTTTCTCAATAAGATCTTCTTCAGCTTGAATAAAACGTTGTTCATCTAATGATAAATCAGGACGATCACACATTTGTAAATTTACATAGTCGCGAACTAGATTACGATGACATTGAACTATGTTATTAAGACATGTGAACATGGATGGAAGGGTATTTGTATCGGATGGTAACTGATTAGTAGAAGAAGATGAAGAACGAACGCGTTTAAACGGCATTTCGTCCGTGTCTGTCTCATTTGGAATTGTAGTTGATGATCGACGTCGTTTTAATGTAGTCGACGTTGATTCATCATCTATTGTGGTAGAAGACTCCACCACAGAAGTCATCTAAAAACACATTCAAATGATAATATCGATTTACTACAGATGAAACGAACGTAGACAAATGAACGGTAACCAAAAATTCTTCTGTTCGTACCATTGAAGAATAACTTCATGGACCTCTACTGCTATCTCAAATTGGATTGGTCTGTAGGATACTGGTGATTACTGACATCTATTGAATAATTATCCGCGTTACCCAGTACTCAGGTCATTGATAAAAAAAGTCATTATATATTCGACATAGTTGTGATAGTAAATCGCATAAAAACCTTCATCTGATTAACCCATTCTTTAGATACTGTATTTTCGACGAAAACCAAATAAGAAATTAGCCCCTCTTGATCGTCGACCGTGATAAACTGCCATGATGATACAGTATGAATTTTGTGAAAGATAATCTGAAGGATTCTGTTTCGTCGGCAAAGTAGAGCACTCGATTGGAACATTTCCCAACGAGTTGAAGGTGCGTTCTTAATAAGCTCATTTTGTTGTTTTCTGCGTTTGGTCTAGTCTAGTGGAAGGTAACAAGTGTGAAGAGCACGATGAAACGGTGTGTTAGTTAAAAAAATTTTGTATTAAAGAAGTCCCGCCCATGAAAATGTCAGTATTCGATGTAGAATTAAATTCTGAATCGAGTGGACTTATTTAGTAAAAAAGCTTTTAGCTAACATATCGTTTGGTCATGCGAATTCTTCTATGCTAGCTTCAAAGTAATAAATTTTAATCATCGATTTACTTAAGTGTTTAGTTCTTCAGACATCTCTCTAAATCGAGCTACTGTAATACATATAGAAACGTGAATGACAAAGATGGATCATTATCTCAGTCATTGCTCAGTGACCAGAAGGTCAGTACAAACGAAGAGCGTGAACACGAGTATACCTTACTCATCGCTTTCATTTCCTTTCTGTAAAACCTTAAACCAAATACACATCTATTATCGAAAGCGATCACAAAGATAAATTTCTTCAGAACATAAACTTTTCTTCAAAATCGTAATTTACACAATCCTGTCTTCCATGCTAGAATGGCAGTTCCTCCGCAAACGAAAAACGTACCAACAGTTCGCCAACGAAGCAGGTCCATCATGTCAACCGGCGGTAACCACTCTTTCGATATATCATAGAATAATCATGCATGTATAACTCGAAAAATGAATAGTTGAATTCAAGTTTGGACTTTGGTCTTTCGCTTCGTTCGCAACTTTCAGTTAAGGGTATTTTGACCTTACATATTTGTTGAGTCAAATCAAATTGGTATTGGGACATGCTACTTTTTTATGTATACTTGCATAAGAAATGTTGAATTGTTTCACCCAGCTTCTTTTATTATTACGTTCTTCTTTTTTTGTTCGTTCGCTTGTTTTTTTTTCTCGCTTGATTAATTCAAATCGGGACGACATGACAATCAATGTCACTACTTTCATGTTGAACTTGTCCTTCACTAGAGATGAAGTCTGTTGTAGTGAACGCTGATACTCAAAAAACTGTTTGTTTAGTTTTCTTGTTATTATTAAATTGATGATTTGAAAGCAGCTTTCTTCTTCTCTACAGTGCATTTCATGTAGATTGAAACTCTTATTACCTTTCATTTACTTTAAAAATATTGTTACATGAATGTGTGAGAATACTCACACTTTTCCTTTCGTTTTTTTTTCGAACAATTAGCGATAGAAATTTCTCTTAATTGTGATCAATATATAGAAAACGTATTGCCTTACCATAAATTACGTTTACAAGACAAATCACTGTCTATGACATGATTACTATGATGAATAGAGAAAGAAACAAGAATGTAGGGCGAAAAATTCCTATTTCGTTTCCTCTGTTGTACTGAATGAGCAACTAATTTTGCCGTTATTTTTGTGTTCGACTGTTATTTCATGCGTATCAGAAAGAAAAGTACGTCATGAATAGGCCCGTATTCGAATTGCGCAAAATTTCGACAAATGTAAACGCGTGTCTTCACCAGTCATATGTTTCGTTAACTAAAGGTATATAAAAAAAAACATGTGTTCACGTGCTTCATTCAATTAACAATTAACTAAAATAATGTAAATGACGTCGTTTATTTCATTTTGGGATATAAATATTCCTTACCAAAATATATCAAATCAATATGTCTTTTGATTGTTATGTTTAATGAAAAAGAATAAAAAATAATGTTGCTCGATACGACTAAAATCTCGTTAATTTATGACTTTTGGAAATTAAACACAGAAGACAATTATTTACAAGATGCGACTGAGCTGTCACGTAAGCTAACTGAATCAGATATTATCGACGGTAAGTATGATGATTTCACATGACATGTTAGCTACTTTGTCGTTTTCTTTCTAGCAAAATACATTCAAGATTGGATTCCGAATCTTCTTTATCTCGTCGAACTATGGGAGCAAGAATTATTAACTGAACTAGATGAGTTTTACATGACATTATTACATGATAAAACATCGAGCGATAAAGTTGATACACTCTTACGATTTCTCTATGATATACAGTCGTATGAATTGGTAAAATATCTTTTAGAAAAAAATGTTCATCATTACAAACAAGAAAAACGTGTTTCATCAACCATGAGTGGATTTCATGAAGCATGTATCTATGGTTTTAGTCAAGTTTGCTTGTTATATCTTGAAAATGAACAAGATATCAATGAAACATTTTCATTAGTATATGAAAACATCAAAACAAACAAACAAGAATTGATTCGTAATCTAACAGGCCTTCAATTGGTTTGTCTTTGGTCAAAATATTTTCCTAAACGACTCGTTTCATATGCACATACACTTCGACTCCTGATAAACCATGGTGCGAGAGTCAATATGATATCAACAGAATTATCAACTCCATTGCATTGGACATGCCGAGCAAAGCATACAACACAATTAGCACAGGATTTAATTGAGCATGGTGCATGTGTGAATGCATGTGATAAATTCAACATTCAGCCAATTCATTATGCTTGTTGGACACGAAACCGCATTTTAGTTGATCTGTTTCTTTCCAAAGGTATTCAGCTTACGGCTCAAGATGACTTTGGACGAACATCGATCCATTTTCTCTGCATGCCAGCCTATATAGAAGAGATAACGCAGGATGATCAACAAGGACAATATGATCTAATGAAATACTTGCTAAACTATTGTGAAAACAATTTCTATTCTATTGATTTAACTCAATCGGATCATCAAGGTCGCACTTTATTAACATATGCCTGTTTAAGTCATAATCTCAGTCTGATGCAACTTCTTCTCGAACGTCAACCTGATCTATTAAATAAGGCCACAATCATCGGACGAACACCGTTAATGATTACCATTGATGAGTGTTTTCTTGATGGTATTGAATATTTGTTACAATATCGAAATTTAGAACGAGATCGATGCGATATGAATGGCAATACCGCTGTGCATTATATTTGTATGTCAAGAAACATAACTAAACGTTCAGATATGTTAAAATTATTACTCAATGATAAAAATGGCATCTTCGATTTCGAAAAACGAACTGAACAGTTAATTGATCCATTTATGTTATGTACAGTCTATCAAGCCATCGATCTATGTCGTTTGTTGATTGAAAAAGATGTTATTTTAAGCAAACAAGATATGTTTTCTCGACAATCTCTTCATGTTGCATGTCAATTGGACAATTATGATCTAGTTTCCTTATTGCTCAAGTCATCAAAAATCGATATCAATGCATTGGATGCCAATAATCGAAATTGTCTTTTCTATGCATTAAGTTCCGGAAATGACAAACTTGTTCAGCTTTTGATTGACAATAACGTGAAGATTAATATCCAGGACGTTATCGGTGATACACCATTGCATTTAGCTGTTCAACATCCTACAAATGCTTATCAGTTAACGAGGTGTCTTCTTTCGAAATCAGAAAGCAAAGAAATCATCAATGAATCGGCAGCGGATGGAATGAAACCATTACTATTAGCAGCGAATTTTCAACAAGCAGATGTTGTTTACCTATTATTAAAGAACGGTGCTGATATCAACGGCGTGAATAATGAACAGCAGACAGCACTACATTTAGCATGTAAAAGTGGCTCTATGACATGTGCGTTCTATTTAATTGAAGTTGGTGGTTTGAGTATTAACGTACTCGATTTTTATCAACAAACACCATTATTTTATGCATTTACAAGCAATGACTACCATCTTGTCCATTATCTTCTTCTATGCAATGCTCGAATTGATGTGCGCGATAGTGAGAATTATTTACCTATTCATACTGGTTTATTATTATCAAAAAACGATGAAGATTATAAATCCGATTTGATCGATTTATATAAAGGTGAACATGAAGATTTATTAAATGATCAGAGTAATCCATCGAAAATATCACCATTATTAATCGCATGCATGCAAGGCAAACTAGAAGTGGTGAAATACTTAATTTCAAATTACAAAATTGATATACTAGCACGATGCCTTCATGGATATACAGCTTTGCATTATGCTTGCTTGGTCAAAAGTACAAAATCATTAGAAATAATCGAATTTCTCATGCAAAATGGATGTACTTATGAGCAAGTTGATGAACCCAAAGGAACATTTTTGCACACAGTTGTTCGACATGGTGATCAACATGCTGCTCGATATTTTATTGATTATTGGCTGGTAAATTCATTTGAATAAGACAAACTTCTCTTCATCCTTTTTGTTTCCTTTTATTTAGAAAACAAATCCAGATATCAATGAATTACATTGTGGATCGACATTACTCGATCTTCTATATCAACGTGCACAATATCATCATCATGATCTTAATGTTGAACATCTTCGTCAATTATTAGAGAAAGGTGCACGTTTACACGACTCGAAATTGCCTATATTTCCGGGTACGTTGGTCAACGATTGTCCATTATTTTATTTAACTTTACTTGAATACAATTGTTCACCGATAATGGATAAAACGGAATTCATCATCCATTTATTGAATACTATTTCTATTTATCCAGATACAATTGTGTTAATCAATCGAAAAGACAAAGAATACATCACCGTGTGCGAATACTTTTTCAATGTTATCCAATTAATTCGCTATTTTTATGACATTGAGCAATTTTATTCCATAATTAATCACAAATTTCTTCCACAATTCACTGCTGAGCAATCAAATGACGATATAGTCCTGCTTAAAACACGAATCAACCAATTGCAATCAACGCCATTGAAATTATCCGAAATCGCTCGAAAAATTATTCGCAAAAACTTAGATATTCCCAGTCAACATCATTTCGAACAGTTAGATTTAACAAAATATCTTGCAGATTTCCTTTCACAAAACATATCGTATGTCTAAAACGAATGATTCACCTATTCCTTTTTTTCTGTATATAAAATACCGAATAAAATTCTTCTGTCAACTAAGAGATATGTATATTTCGAAAGAAAATTAGATTAACAACATCAACACACTGAGTTCATAACTGTATCACGAGAGTGAAATAAACCTAATCAGATGATTGTCAACATGTACCATTGAGCGGAATGAAATGGAATTGATATTACACGTCCAAACCAACAGTTCCAGTGAAAGTTAAATCATTCGTCGGTGTCATCAAAGAAGGAAGAGTACTCTGACGACGTTGATCATGCTCAGCTTCATCAACTCGAACACGATTTTCATCCTTTTTGATCAAATTCGGATTCTGGGCGTAGAGTTCGGCACCCCTAAGAGATACACGTTCTCGGTTATGTTCTAAATGATAATCTTTCAGACATACCAATACATTTGTTGAACTAAATAACGACATCGTTCGAGTTGAGCTCGAATGCTTCGCGGACCACGTGGTATAAAATTTCGAACAAGAAATAAGATACTGTATACAAAATGCTAAAAGAAAAAAAAACCCACCGAGATGGGAAGACTTATTCTGGCACAGTCGTGTAATAAACTATGATTTTACCTCGAAAATAATGACAAATGCTAATCTTGCTACCATAACGTAGTAAAACATGTACGATCGTGCATAATTATGTGTATGATCCTATGATGAAAAACGAATAAAATAGAAAACTAGTTGGCTCATTCGATAATACGACTTACAAGTCGATAATCTTTATAATAACAAGTGGAAAAATCGATCTGTGAGCGTATTTCATTTGCCAACGACGAATTGCAATCAAAATGTGATAGATGATATGATTGTGCAAATGGTAAGAAAAACGTTGATTGTTTTGATAAATCAATCAATCGAAATTCAATAAATTCACACTCCAGTAATGTGCGATTGATTACGGGAGGAAAATCACTTGGATGAAATGGTGCCAATGTATGATGAAGGAAACCATTCAATGAATAATTTCCAATTGTCCAATAATAAACATGTCGAGGAATATATTCCGATGTGATCGCAATCAAAAATGCATTGGATAGAACAGTTACTTTTGCCATGATGGGTAAAATCGAATTCCATGTTCCAATACCCGTCGCGGGACGTGCAACAGGTCGACGAAATTCTTTGACAACTTTGAGTGCATCGATACGTATTTCGAAAATATTATTAATGAATGCAAATAATGGTGCCAGAGGAAACGATAAACAAAAAAATGTGACAAAACCAAATTGTAAAATGATTTCCAAATATTCATAAAAAAGTGTTGTCAGTTCAAATGGTTGTAAAAGAAAATCTTCTTCGTAGGAACGTTTCAAATTCATGTTCAAAGGTTGATCATGCATTTGCTTCATTTTAGCATTTCGTTTGTTGATTTGACGAACGGTTTGACGAAATTTAATACGTTTTCGACACATGTTCCATAATCTCGAAAAATAAAATTCCCATATGTTCGATATCAGTTGTTTACCGACCATGATAATGATCAATTGGATCGATAACTCCCATACGCAACCACTAACATCACATTCTTCTAGACGAAACGGTCTTGAATGATGATCAAGATGCGTTGGTTTGTAGATAATCAACGGTTTTATCAAAGCAATATAGAATATACTGGCGTAATAGTTTACAAATTGAAAGAGAAACATCTTTATTGTTAGACTCGCTTCATAAGTCTTATCGGTGCGATGCAATTCTGCATTCGTTAACCATATAGCCAGAATTTCATAGAAATATTGTAAAATTAAAATAATGACCAAATTGATTAACGCTGAAAGGCAAATAGAAGAAAAATATAAGGAAAAGCATCTTAATTTCATATTTAAGGTCTCGATGACCTGCACGAAGAACTCTGTGTATAGAATATTAATAAAGACTTTACGTTCTGACCTCCAGTGATTGGAACAATGATTGGCTTCCAACGATAAATCCACATTTCTCGGTCAATTGTATTAAATGCTGCCGAAACACTTAATCTAATCAATAGAAAGCATTGACTATTAACGAAAATACTCCGTTTTATCATTACCGATAGACAACAATGCCAGCAACAACAGCCAGAACAAGTAATACCATAAATAATACGACTGAAAATGATGACCTAAACAAAGTTATTCATTCAATTTGAGAATAAGATGTCTCTCCGCGTACATATAACTGATAAGACGTTTATAAAGAGGTACATAAGGTTCAAGTTTATCTGTAACTTTGTTGATAATTGTTTTTTCTACACGCCGTTCAAAATCCGGTCGCAAAGTTTCGGTTTCTTCAGTAATATCCGTCTAATAAAGGAAAACTAGTTTACTCTAGTTTCATCTATTTTCTTTACCATATCCCATTCAAATTGTAATCGATACTCTTGTCTTTGCCAAAGAAAATTCACGCTGACAGCAAAGATACTGATGATAATAGCAAAAGCTACCGAAGCCGAATTATCAAAAATATAGGATATCTAACAAAGAAATGAAGTAATATAAAATTGCTTCTCTTCATCATACTTTAGCATTAAAACATGTCTCATTTAAAAACCAATACGCTTGCCGATCCTGAAATAATAAATGAAATTGAGTGAGAACAACATATCGTCTTTCATTACAATTTTTGGACACATTAAATAACTGGAAGTAGGATTACATATATCTAATGTTGGTTGATCATATTTAACTGACAGTAGGCCCCATAGAAGAACAAAGACTCCGAGAATCGACGGGACCGTTAATAGTGAATTATACCACCCAAGCCAAGCAAAATAGAATGCTAGACGTTCACCATAATAGTCTCGAATAGCTCGAATAGGTTGAACGCGAAATATATTACTAAATCTTGCCCAACGATGATATAATTTCTAATCAGTAAAACAAGAAATCATAAATGAGTCCAAAGTTTCATGATTTACCATTCGATCGTTCCATGTTTCAGGTTCACCAGCATCTTCTTCATCAATTAGCTGATCATGTAATGGAAATGCTGCTTCGTAAACACCTTCTTCAAGTAAAACTTCAATCCCTATGAGAAAAACTGCATGAAATAAAAGACCGCATTATGTATTACTCTTTACCTGTATCTTTCATGCCTAGCAAAATGAATATGAATATAAATATGTCGTCATTTACCGAATCTTGTTTTACCTGATCTTCGTGTACTCGATGTGAAAACTTCTTCGATCTTTAATGTTTGTTTTTCACTCGCTTGTGATTGTCGGCTATTCATAACCAGATTTGGTGCAGTTGAATCCATTTCCGGTGATTCACTTTCAATTTCATCAATCGCTAGAATTATGAAAGAAGAACAAATGAATCTAAAAGTCTAGTTTTTCAAATCAGTGTTAAAACAATCAAAGGAGATTAGTGGTCGCAGGCAAGTATTATAAATTCGAGTTGCAAGCTACTTACGATCATGATCATCAAATAATAAAACAAGCATTCTGTCTAAAAAGATCAAGTATTTTTCTCTTCTCATCGATTGCTAACAAGATTTGTCGTTGTAGCATAAGAGAAAAACAATTCGAAGTTCATTTTCACTTACCAGTTAGTAATGGTTCAGGCGATCTATACGGACAACGGAGAAGAATTTCATAGACTAAACGACTTCGTTCGGCCGGACGAAATACTTGATTAATATCACCAAAATGTTCCGAAAATCTCAAAGAAGATTCCGATGTCGGAAATTCTCTTCGTTGTACATTCACATTAAAACCTACCTGTAGTGAAGACTCTTTTGATAACAAGCAGTAAAGTATGTTTTTCCATTATGTGGAGGAGGAAACTCAGTTGGATTAAGACGAGTAAATTGACAAGGTAGACCATGATCAAATAATCCCGGTCTCAATGGTGCTTTATTTTCACTAAAAGGTAATTTAACTTTTAATTTCTCAGCCTATAAATGCAAAATCGGATAATAAAATATCATACAATTGATTACAATCGCTTCTTACTAATACTAATAAAGCTTCGAAAGGTGCGTGAATTTTGACAAAATATCTTTCATCTTGTTTCAATTCGTCATCACGTTCGTTCGAAAGCGTTCTTTTATTCTAAATAACAATGTTATTTCTAATCGATTTGTGTAAACATCACATACTTGACAATCATTCTTTCGATTGATATTCTCTTTGGAATCTTCTAATTCAACAGATTCTTCTTCATCAATAGCTTTACTGTGAGTATCGGTGGAATCTTTTTTTAAATGTGAACTGATATTTTGTAAACGTATTGACACATGTCGTTGTAACGTTGAAAAACCACGAGCAAGCACATGATTACTTTCTGCATTTGTATTATTATTGTTATCAGAAATATCAGCGGAGTTTTCAGCTTGTCGTAGATTGAGAAGATCATTTTGCTAAGAAGAGAATGTTGAAAATGCTTTTCTCGTCAGAGAAACAAAGTTATCTTTACAAACTTCGTCAGTTAATCGTTCTTCAACAACAATGAAACCTAATTTTCTAAGACGATCTTGAAAAAATTCTCGATATTCTTCATGTTGGCGCTTAGATCGATGAGTTCTTCGTCGAAAATGATTCGAATGATAACGTGTATAAACAAGAATATAATCGACAGGAAGAAGTTTTCCATTATAATAGATATATTTTGAGCGATCAATAGGCACGATCGGTACTTTCTTATGAACATAATTCTAAAATCAATGCTCAGATTAGCAAATTATTTTCGTCAACTTACTGAATCAACGATTATGTCATGCTGCTTTTGATTTCGATTTGCATTCATTGCTTGTCGATCATCTAAAACTTACATTGATCAATGTTTTTCTCTTTTTTTTTTCTTCGAGCATCAGATGTTCGACTATCAAGGAAATGACTGAACGATATATTCTGACTGATTAACTCTCTTTATTGAAAAAGAAAAGAAAAAGCTCGCCTTATTCGTCTCTTAAGAAACAGCATTATTTTGTAGAAGAAAAGATACAACTAAATTTCCCCAAGATCCTCTCGTTCGAATGTTTTATTAAGAAACACCAAGATAAAGAATGGATTCATCAACAAAATCCCATTCTATACCGCTGAATGAAAAAAAAACATAAAGAGAAGTAATATGATAAAAAAAAAAAGAAAAGGCATACAAACAAATAATCATCATTCCATCGATCTTTTTTTTTCTCTTTTTCTCTCTCGCAAATATTTCTGTCGAAAAGACTGAGTGATGAATGAATAGCTCTCTGCATATTTCTTCCGGTCTTTTAACATTTTGTATCGAATACGTTTGCTTTGCCGTTACAAATATCATCTACTAATTACATAAGAAGAAAATGACGTACGAAACGAAAGAAATTGGCTATTAAATGTTTAATAAATATGTAAATCACAGAGATAAACATATATTATTCATCTCTAATAACTTACTAGCATATCCATTGAATTCAATACTGTTTTTCATTAGAAATGAATCATTATCTCGATGAGTTTCTAAAAACAGAATGCAATTTAATTCTATGTTGAAAATTAATTGAAAAGATTAAGCAAATCATAATCAGGTGATAGAAGAATAGTAGTGAGATGATTTAGTAGATGAAGAAAAGTAAAATACCCGGGAGAGAACGACAGGAATAGAAGGATTCACATGAATCACGATGTTCAAGAGCATCCTGTCTGCTTAACTCTGGAAAGAAGACATGAAGAGAAAAGAAGAATCTTTCCAGAATGTTGTTTTTTTTTTCGTTCTCTATTGAACACAAGATCTAATTTTACCTTTTGACTCAAGATCAGACACTGTTGCTGGACTTTCACCAGATAAATACGAGCCTAAAAATTCATTGAATTACTTCGTATAGGATAAAAGTTGTGTTTTTTTTTCTATTTACGAAAAATATTCATTATGTCAACATGTTCTTCGTCGATATTAAAACTGAAAGCTAACGAACAACAAACACAGGTTGTATTTTTAACGATTTGATTGATGCATCATTAACAAATAGATAGATGATAAAAGTTCGAAGTCTAGCTGGTTAAGTCTCGTTCGGTCTTGAACAGGAGAAGAGGTGGCAATCAGAATGATGATGATAGAGTGCGACAGATGGTACCAAACGATTTCTAAAAGACGATGATTAATTTTTTTTCCTAATAGAATTATGATCAGAAGATGGCGTCAAATGATGGTTTAAGACATACTACTCTTGTTATATTTCCTCTCTTTGTCAACGAGTCCCTACCGCATTTTGTTTCTAATTGGTTCATCCATGTGTTGATTATGATAAATGCTGACTCTTTCTTTCTTGAGCAAGTGAGAAAACATGGAAGTTTTACGAGAGATTTTAATGAGCCTGTGTATAGTATTAATCGAGCGTTGTTTGAAACTGTCACGATATATGATGGCAGGTATGAAGGTTCTATCTTAAGAGTTATTATTTATAGTGATGAAAAAGATATGATTATAAATCACACAATCAAAACATTGAAACAAATTGATTTATCACTCAAAGAACGATAGTCTTCTTTATAAATAGTTCAACATAAATGTTACGGAAAGTACGGTGGAGCGGATGTGGCTTATTATGAACCCGGAGTCACGTGTGATGTTGTAACATTGGACAGGACAGTTTTTGATAGACGATTAAAATCGATTAGGATCTGATCATGTTTTGAAATGTATAAAACATTGAATTTTTACCAAGAACAACGGAAAGAAACGATTATCATACAGGAAATCGAATAGTTCAATGTAATCGCATGTCAATATAAATAAAAAAAGAAGTTTATATATCACAACACATACTTGATCTATCACATCAATAGTATATTATTAATTGTATTTGATATTGTGTCGAAATCTTTGATTTTAGTCGGGCTTAGAGACATGACAAGTTAAAAATGATATTTTTCGATTAATACTCTCAAATAAAAGACATTTCGGTAGTTACTCGTTGGCAAATGATCTATCACGTTTCTTTACTTCAATAATAACCTAAATAGTGAAATATATATTCATCATTTTGTTTTTTTCTCTTTGATAAGTGTCTTTTCATCCTAATAGATAATCTTATCCTAACACACTATTAGATTTCACGAGACGGTATAAAGCGCGAATTGTTTAGCATTGAATCGTTATTAAGATCTATTGTTTTCTTTTAGTTTCACCCATGAAATCCCTACGTCGAATCGGTTTCATTTTTTGTATTGTTTGTGTACTGGCATTGAACGGTATGCCAAATGTTTTGTTTGTCTTCTGTACGATTCAATTGTATGTGTGCTGATTTCGTTTAGATGCAGTACCAACATCTAAAACAGAAGAAAAACTTGTTATTCGTGGTCGGGTACTATTTCCAGAGAATTCGAAAGTACGGATTGAACGCGGTGCTAAAGTAACGGTAGAATTACAAGATGTGTCTTTACTTGATGCTCCCGCTAAAGTTATTGCCAAAGGAACAGAAAAAGCTTCTCGATTTCCCATTGCATTTGCAATTAAATATCTTCCATCTCAAATTACCAAAGGTTATACCTATTCTATAAATGTAGCGATTCGAAATAAACAAAACGAACTGTTATATATCAATGATGTGCATATACCGATAACACCATTGGGTGCTCAACGGACTAAATTCATCAGTGTACCAGTTATTCGTGTGAAAAGTAAAGTAAACAGAGAATTGAATCAGTAGGAAAAAGAATATATGTTTTAGAGGATAAACCAACAGCGAACAAAACTCAGTGGCCGGAATTAGTTGGTCAGAAGGGTGAACATGCCGTGAAAGTAATTAAAAAGGAAACAGGTACAGATTGCATCGATGTGTGAATAAAGAATTCATTATTAACCATTTTCTTAGGTTTTACTAATGTTGTAACTATACTCGAAGGTTCACCAGTTACACTGGACTACAGTACAAGTCGTGTTCGAGTGATCGTTAATAATAAAGGGATTGTTACACACACACCTATTGTTGGCTGATCAACTATTTGAAAAATGCTCATTAATCAATAAGATAGACTTGTGACTGATCGTTTTTCTCTTCTGATTTCAATTTCTATTCACGAAATAAAATGATTATTGTTTGGATCATGATAGAAAAGAAAGTTCTGTGGCAACTGACGCCCTCTACTTGTTACGTTTCCTATTGAAACGAATTGTATTCATGTCATTTCTACGACACTAAAGCAATAACTTTGATCATAATCAACATCCTGACTTCAAATTCATTTAAGAGTTTACTGAACGTGTAAACTATGACCGAAGGTTATAGTTTTCTTCGATTTTGTATGTAAACGAGTTTTCATTTCTTTTTAACTCGGATACCTTCGTAGTACATAGGAAATATACCGAAGAGGAATATATAAATGAAGCTTGGACGCCTATTAATGGATTTCTCCGACAGTGTCTTCAGAATACAATGGAGAATTGCCAATCAACATCATACGAAACGATTTATCAGTAAATTATCTTCAACAAAACATTTCTAATAAGTTTTTCGATTGTATATTTAGTCATATTTACACAACTACGTGTAAAGGATACAAAGAACGGCTTTTTACAGATATAAAAAAAGTGATCAATGAACACTGTCAAAATACAAAACTCCAATTAGACGAAAGCGTAAAGTTTCGATATATCTTCATCACATATAAACGAACATAATTTCATTAGATGAAGAAAATGATTGACGAACGTTCAACTAGATTGATGAACTGTTATATTCTTCAATTCATTGATCATGCACGACAATTTCATCGAGCAATTGAACTTATTATTCCTTTTTTCGTAAGAAAAATTTTTTCAAAACGAACTCTTCTCATTTGTTCTTTTCTCTTTAGCATTATCTCGTTAGTCCATTGTTGCTTTTGTTTTCGTCCAAAACTATCTTTACATATCTAAGGATGTTGTCTATATCAAATCCAAACTACGAACAACTATTCGACAAGAATTCTATGCTTCATATAAAGCAATTGTCATTGAATGTCATATCAATCAAGTTTTCAGTAGGATACCAATGATTACATTCCCTATTCACTTATATATTCCTCAGATACACTTCAACAACTTGTTCAATCGTCAGAAGGACCATCGAAAGAAATTATTGGTTTATTATTGAAATTCGTTCACGATATTGCACCTGGTAAATAACAAAATTTAAGTTCTATCGAAAACCAAATTACACTTTTAAATAGATCTAGCAGTGAAACAGCGTCATTTACTCAAACGATACTGTAACAATGAAGATGTATTTAATGAAATAACATCGAATGGAAATGATACGCCTACTCCAACATCGTTCGTATTTCTATGAATATGATCCGATTTTCTTGTTTCCTCATGTCTAGACGCAATGCTTCGAAACGATCAGTTGATGAGCTGCCAGGCGACGAGGGTAAGTACGAAGAGTTTCGTTGGAAGACTTCTCGAAATGATCTTCATGCAATAGTTCATATGAATTTTTTGTATCGATAGATCAACCTTCAGCAAAACGTACAAGTCATATGCTCAAATCTCCACGTTCAGATAATTGAATATTCTCTTTCTTCGTGTACATTGACTTTCAAACGTACGAAATAGTAATATCTGATGAAAAAATAAAGTTTTGTTTCTCTTTTAACAAACACTGATGTGTGTTTGATTTCGATGATGACACACATCGAATGAATAGGGTTTTTCTCTTTTTCGTCGTTCGGTAATTTTAAACACATTATACATATATATATCTTCTTCACGACATATTCTTCTTGAGATCATACGTAGATCCGATGGCAAGTCGATGTTTCATGAATATAAATGAAGGCGATAATCATACTGTAGGTTTCGTCAAAACACATGTCAGAGAAATGTTTTACCCAAATAAGAAATTTCATTTGTATTGCAACCATCGACACAAATTATGTTATTATGGTATAACAAGTCAAATTCCAAATATCGAAATTGTTGTTGCTTAATTGAATTTTGTTTTTTTTAAATATGTGTATATATGTGGTAGTGAACTACTGCCCTCTGAATAAAATTAAGATTGTCGGTCGCAGGACGCACGTGTTGATGTTATTTTATTGCACAACAAATAGGAACGAGTCATTTTTTTGTCGGAAGAATAGAAAAGGAAGGATATGTTTACTTTTTTTCTTCGGAAAGTCTTTTGAATATTTTTGTTCTGTTTAAGATATAGAAATAGCAAAAATGGCAACAGCCATGTCCACAAATTGTTTGATATCCGTATGTGACGATTAACAAAACTATCGGAATCTTAGTCTTTTCTTCTTCAGCCTGAGCCTTTATTAGAGCAATTCAATTGTCCAATATGCTTGAACACTATGAAAGACGTTTGGGTAACCAGTTGTCTTCATCGTTTTTGTGAGAATTGTATCAAAGGTAAAACTTTGAAAAGATTAGATAAGGAAATTTCGATGTTTTCTGTTCTTCTTCGATAGAATCTGTCAATGCTGCTCATCGATGTCCATTGTGTAATAAGAATTTACAACAAGAAGATATTCAACGTGATGCTCTGGGAAACAGTGTACTCGGTTTGATATTTCATTTGATTTTTTTCGAAATAATCATTTATTCTTTTAGAAACCATCGACAAATCTATTCAAGAAGCTGAGGCACAGAAGGCGAAATCATTTGCTACTCAGGGTAACTCTTTGTTGTTTCTAAGGTCAATAGATAGTTCTTCTTTCTGTTTTCAGTCGTTAATCAAATCGGTAACACTTCCATTCGAACAATTCTTGAGGAACTTTTTCGTGGTAAAATAACGATGGTGTAATATTGCTTTTTTTGTGAATTGTGATTTGTAGATACATTGGTAACATCATTGGCAAATCATCTAACTAGTGAGAATGATATGAATAGTCGGTATAAACGTAAGAAAATGGATATTGAACAAGCATTCAATCGAGCTGTAGTCGAATTACAAGAAAAGAGGTTGCCGAAAGATGGTAAGACGAACATGAACGAGTTCTTTTTGTATGAATATTCTTTTCATAGAATACAAGAAAGAATTGGACGAGAAAACTGAACAGTTCAAACGGGAAATCAATGCACTCGATGAAGAAATTCATAATGTTCAAATCCTATTTATTGAAGCATATAAAAAGTATATTGATTCAACTGATAAAAAAATGCAAATTATTTTTTGAATGAATCTAGCCATCTCAATGAACATATATCTAACTTTGGTGCTGTTTCCACACAAGTTCGTGTGACTTTATGGAAAGAAGATTTCTTATATAAAAACAAAGATAAACAATATGCTGTGAAATTAATGCGTCCGGAAGATTCGTAAGTAATTCGAAATTCAAACAGGAAACGGTATTTAATAATCGTGTCTAGAATGGAAGTATTATTACCTGTACTGCATGAACTCGTTCAATTAAAATCTGATTCTATAGCGAAATTAGGCAATATGATAATGTTTACTTGTATCAAGTAAAAACCAGTATTGATATATTTGAAAATGCAAATTTTCGAGTGTTTCTAGTCCTCTTGATGATCTTTCTGAACAAGCAGTAATCCGACGACTGCAGAGAATGGAGACCGAAGGTGACGATGATGATAATGATTTACTCACTGTGTCAACCAATTGTCGACCGATATTAGAACATAAATTAGTAAGTGATGATTCATATTTGTCTGTAATTAAATTCTCCGCATCAGTTACGTGGCACACTCGTTGTTATTCATGGTGATGTTGTATTAGAAAGTGAAGTTCCGAAGACATGTTTCAGACAAGTGTACCAAGAACATCCGAATCAAGCGCATCAGGTCGATTATTTTCAATGTTATACTTGTTTAACTGATGGAAAACCATTACGATGTAAGACAATCGTTTTTTCTTAGAGAGAAATGAAATTTTCCCTTTTTTGTTTTTTCTTTAGGGATCTGTAAATCATGTGCAACTGTTTGTCATAAAAGTAAGAATATTCTTTGCATTCATATAGTTCTGAGAAATCTCTTCTGATTTTCAGAACACGACGTCAAAGCATTAATATTCGGTAACAATGCTACTGGGTAATATTCAATTGAGTCTGATCGATGATGAATTATCTTTTTCTTTTAGGCCTAAGTGTGATTGTCGTAAGAAGAATTGTCAAATTTATCCTCGACATTAATTTTTATCTTTTTTTTAAACGAATTTCATTTCAATGTCTATCTTTTTCTACGATATTTAATTCGGATCAAAATATTTTGTTTGTTTTTCTGCATATATATGAATATGTTTTGATAATATATGCCCAAAACGACGTGAGATTTTTGTCATAAATAGAGATGTATATTTTGTAGCGTTAGAAAAAGAAAAATGAATGGTTAAATGAAAACAAAAGATTAGTATGGATGAGAAAGATGTAAACGATAGGTTTTCCTTCATAACCAAACAGAAAATATACAGTTTGTCTGTTTATCTTGGAATAAGCACTTTGGTCAGATGACGATTGGAATGTTCAACAAAACTGATTGATCTTTGTGACTAGGAGATTGAGAAGAAACAAAAAATAAAAAGGAACAACACCGATAAAATATTGCAGATAGAATTTCGAAGAGAGTGAAAACTAAAACAGAAATTAACAATTGCGATTGGCTTCAGCACCAACAGATTTTCCAATGGCATCGGGATCTTGAAGTGGATCCAGTTCGGCGAATAAATCAAACCAGTTTGATTTATCAGTAGCAGATTTGCCTGTCATTGTTGGTTTCGCTTTCGAATTTGTTGAAGACGGAATGTTCGATGTTGAAGTCTTATTATTAGAAGTTAATAATTCACTGAGAAGAGACGATGGAAGAAATGTACTATTCGTTTGAGCAGTATTTGCCGGATTCGTAGATGTTGGCACTTGTTGATTAGATGTATTATTACCGAACGCTGATGTCCAATCAGCATCGAAATTATTAGTTTCATGAGCACCGAGAAGATCATTAAGATTGGAGTCTGATGATGAACTTGGCGAGAGAAGATCAGAGAAAAGTTTGTCGTGTTCAATAGATGAATCCGTTAATTCAACGAGATTATCACTATCAGTAAATGTATTCGAAGTCATTTTTGTGTGATTACCAGTTGCACCATTCGTTGCTGTTGATTCGATGGTAGTGAGCTTTTCTAATTCGATGAGTTGATCATCGAGCTGAGCATCAGAGATATCGATCAACGCGTTGATGGGTTCGCTGATGTCATGATTTTCATCTAAATAGACTTTTGTTATGTGAAATCAAATCCTTTTTGGAAACATTTTAATACCTTTTCGAATTGAATTACTTAACGCTTTCTGTTCATCTGTACGTGAATCGGCAAGGTCAATGAGTGTGTCATCTTTTTCTACTTTCTGTTTTTCCTTATCGGTTTCTTCTAATTTCCTCTCCAAAAACGAACTCGATGACATTTCTGCCAATAAATGATTTGGTACGGCAAGTTCTTTAATCACAGTAAATTCGTAATACTCGTAACCTTTGAAAGATTCAGCAACTGCGGACATTACTTTCGATGTTTTCGCCCAGAAAGCAAGTAAAGTCTTCTGATACGGAGCTAACACATGTGAATACATATTACTAAAACAATCCATCATTGCATCCAAGAAATATCTTGACTTTTCTCGTAACTTACCATCGACTAGCCGTCAATAGATCAATCTTTTGTATAACATCTGATTTCAATTTGTCATATTCTTGTTTCGATGTTTTCACTTGACTCTGTACTCGACGAAATTTTTCCAATTGTTTTTCGGGGTCAAGTTGTACCGATGCATCTTTTAACCATAAGATACTTCCCCGATATTCCGTTCGTGCTGTTTCCATTCGATTCACTGTTGCCAATGTATCCGTCACAGCTCGAAGACGAAATGTTTCAATTTCATTATGCAGTCGAAATAATGGTTGTCGTAAGGCTAAGCGCTGCTGAGCAGTGTATGCAAGTACTTTTGAGACACTTGCCATGATTTTTCCTGCACGATTTTTATCAGCTTGAGCGTAATCTTTCAAAAATCGAGCCATGTCGGTTTCTTCATGAGAAAGAAGAAGAACATTGGTTTGATAACGATTCATAATCTAAATTGAAAAAGAGACCATCGTTTGCTTTTATCCTTAATAATAAGGAGATGAGCATACACGAATAAGATCGTTACATGATTGTTTAATTGTACCAAGTAATTCAAGTTTAGCATCCACATCAGAATCGGAGGCGATGACAAATTCATCTTGTTCTCGACCTAGTTTCTTAATCACAAGTTGCTTAGTCGTCCAATACTTCGAGCGTAGCTTATTCAAACTTGTCTTATCTTGATTATCTCCATATTTATCATGACGGAAATTGGATGAATTTCTATAACTCATCGTTCACTAGATGTTACTCTTCTTCTTCTTCTTAGTCGTTTTCTAATAAATAGAATAATAATACCTTGAATCGAATCATTCGATTTTTTTGATTTTGCTTTTCGTATCAAACCAATCACCTTTTCTCTTTCGACCTCTTGCGGATCGCTTTGTAATTGGTCGACATATCTAATCGTAGAAAGAAACACACACGTCATCTCAAATGCAAAGAGAAAACGAATCGTATCAAATCTGAATTTGTAGAGAACATATTTTAGATTTGTTTTTTTTTTGTTAAATTGACCAAACCAAAAGTCAAACATGAGTCAAGTTGGACAAGTTGTTGGTATTTTACGTAAACTTAATGGAGAATATCAATCGAGCACACCAAAAAAATTAAAGCTGATCGATGCTTATCTAGTCTATGTGCTCTTGACTGGTATCGTTCAATTCGCTTACTGTCTTCTTGTTGGAACATTTCCATTCAACTCGTTCCTCTCGGGTTTCATATCAACCGTTGGTTGCTTTGTTCTCGCTGGTAAGATTGTTTGTTTTTCTTTTTTCTCCCCACCAAATTTAATTTGTCTGCTATTCACTTTCAGCAAGTTTACGCATTCAATTAAATAAAGCGAATCAATCGGTATTTAATGTTTCACCGGAACGTGCTTTCGCCGACTTTGTCTTCGCTCATATTATCTTACATTTAGTTGTCGTTAATTTTATTGGTTAAGAATGAAAAAGAGATGCTAGTGAAGACAATAAACATATAAACAAAATATTATTATCACTCTTGGGTGTTTTCTGTTGTTTTAGCGTTTGTTTTCTCTTGTAGTTGCTTCATTGTTGATTCTTTATATTTCTTCACTCTACTCACTTTTTTATACTATCATCTGACGTATTGAATGAAGAATAAAAACATTCAAATGATACGCTTGTCGTCTGAGGATTCTGAATTTAAAGATCGTACATAATCGTATTATTTTAGTTTCCAAATATTCATGAGTATACAATATGTTTACATTAGAGTCCGAGAGAAAGCACTGAGATGTTTGTTTCTGATTCATAATCTTCTGTATGTCGAGGTTGAAAGAATAGAAATGTAATTAGTAATGGTTAGAAGAAGTTATCGAGAAAATAGGTCAATAAAATGTGTACATTTGAGGCTGATGTGCCATGGAGTTTATTAGCGGATAGTATGGCTGTTGCATTTGAGGATACTGAGCCATAAATTGACCGGAATAGTTGTTGTTCATCATCATCATCATTTCTTCTTGTTCTCGTTGTTCACGTTCAGCTTGTTGGAGTTGTTGAGAAAACTGTGCGCGTTGAAGTCGACGAGTAATAACGGGTGAAGCTGGGCGTGAATGGTGGGCGAAATGTAGAGGTGAAGGAACACGTTCCGGTTGTGCAAATTGGAATGGAGATGAAGGACGAGATCTAACCAGTTCGGGAGACATGGCTCGACGACGATATTGTACGGGAGTACCGGGCAACGAATGAGCAAAATGTGCGGGTGAACCAGGTCGAGCGAAATTTTCTGCCTGCCCATCAGGAACTCTTCGACGAGATCTCGATCGACTGATGCCTAATGCATTAGCAATAAAATTGAATGGAGACGAGGAACGCTGTTCACTCGCATCTTCTCCACCGCCATAAGGATCTTCGTCGACTATGTATGGTGCATAACGACCATGTCTCGACAAATCAGGACTTTGTCCTCGTGCTTGCAATGCTACTAATCGTGCTGCTTGCTCAGCGCCCATTTGATAAACAATATCGGGTAAAGGTTCAGCATCTCTCGCAGGACCTCCGAAATTTCCAAACTTCTTGCGACGTCGAAAGACACGCATGGCAGATAGAAATATAGGAAATGATGAGCAAACTGGTTTGTTTTTATCATGTTTATATGATGAGAAATCATCGAAGCATATCAAACAAGAGAGAAAAATATTCAATCAATTGATGAATAATATTTATTTTGTGCAAAAAACAAATTTCTTCACAGTACGATCATTCTTAAATTTAATGTTTATTTAACAATTGTTATACCATTAATTGCTCATACTCATTACAAACAAGGACGATTCGTATCATTTTAGACAACTAATATACATGGACATTGTAATTATCCTTACATTTTTATTCTATAAATAGATAACATCGCGAACAGCTTGTTTCTGAAGGAAGTTATCAGACATCGATGTCAATGTGCGAACGGCCTTTTTTCTAAATACAACTCAATATCATTCGTATGCATCTCTTGTGTGTATACTGGCGCGAACGATGTAGTAAAATTTTAGTTACAGATTTATCGAAGATGGAAATCTGTACACGTACAGGAGAAAAAGAAGAGACCATGTGTACTTGCTCGACGACTAACTAATTTTATATAGATGATCACTTGAGCAGAGACAAGACAAGTGAAAGAATAAAAAAGAAAGAAAAACGATGACTGTTGTTCAAACTTATGTTGAAAATCAAGCAAAAGTATCCTTATCAAGACGCATAGCAAGTAAGTTCCTACTAATTGACAGATCAATTGTTTCTCAAAGACAAGGTGATTAGTAATAGTCTTTTAAAAAATCAATCATAGACGAACACATACACACCGAGATGTATGTCTACATCGCGAAGATACCATAATTGTTCTTAACTTAAGTTTGACATTACCACTCGAAAGATACGCTCTTCTTTTTTTTCTAATAGGATAAGTTTTATGATATGGGAATGGTTCATGTATATGTGTATATAAGACTATTTTATCATCTGGCTGATTTGAGCTGTGCAAGGGCATAGAACATGAACAAAAAGA